ATTACCAATGTCACTGTCTCTCTGATAAGCTCTGCTATGTGATTCTATCACAGACCTTTGTCTCTTGGTTCAAGCCTTTGCCTTAGTGTGAACACATTTATAAATGGATACTGTCCACTCTTCAATGAAGTATTTAAGTTCTTTTCTAATTAAAAAAATTTACTCAAATCAATTTATGAGAAATGTGGCCTCATCTCGTGTATTTCAGGGATTGTTCGGCAGTGCTATTTGACTCCTCCTTTTCCTGCCTCTGCCTCCCAAGTCTGGGATTATAAGGAGGATTCACAAGGCTGAGTCCTGTTTCTTACTTTGTAACAATCATCCATCCCAACTCAGTATCTTAGGGTACTTATCAATTTTTGTTTCTCGATACTTACATTATTGTTGAATGCTTTTACTATGAAGTCACACATCTAAAATCTAACATTTAAAATAATGAAAATTAACTTTCTTAAGAGGGCAGTGGTGCATGCCTTTGAATCCATCACTGGGGAGGCAAAGGCAAGTGGATCCCTATGAATTTGAAGCCAGCCTGGTCTATCGAGTGAGTTCCAGGACAGCCAAGGCTACACAGAGAAACCTGTCTGGAATATTTTCTAAAAAGAAGAAATGAAAAAAATATAAAAAGAAAGAAGGAAGAAATAGAAAAAAAAGGAAACTAACTTCCATCTCAAAAAATATGTGATCATAATTTTTGGTTTTAAATAGTTATAATGTTTGGATATTTCCCTCTGTTAAATTGTCATCAAACTATACAAAAATAAATATGTTTTCTCATGTAGTCCATATGACAGAATCAAATATACATGGAGAATGTGAAGGTAAACAATTTATTTTTAGTTCTTTCTGATAGGTAATGTCATGATATAGAATGGATATTCTTTTATGTATTGCATTACATAAAAGTGGTGGTACAGTGTTATTTTTAAATTGGCCTAAGTTTTTTAAAAATATGCATTTTAGAAACTCAAGGACGTGCTGAGACCACAGGGACTTGGCTGTGCCGCAGCTCGTGTTCCTACTTCCAGAATATTTAAAAGATACCTCAAAGAAGACGAAGAGTGGTCTCCTGTTTGTAAAACTGGCCGACCCACGCTCAGGGGAAGGAGCCTTTTACTTACTTGATAGGTGTCTGCAGCAGCTCTTTGAAATAAAAGTTTTCAAGGAAAAACACCATTCGTGGTTTATAAATCAATCAGCTCAATCCGGGGGCCTTCTCCACTTTGCAATACCCATAGATCCTCTGTTTCTGCTTCTTCAAAGAGGGGAAGTACCAGCCCTTAGATCAGATGGTTGTGGAAGACATGTTTCCAGATTGCTGAGATTTCCTGAACTTGAGAAGTCACTTCGGCATGTGACAGAGGAGAAAGAAGTAAACAGCAAGAAGTACTACAAGTATAGCACAGAGAAGACCCTGAAGTGGCTGGTGAACAAGGTCAACCAAACTGTGGCAGCACTGAAAGCCAATGATATCAATGTGGGAGCCCGGGTACAGTCATCTGCATATTTCTCTGGTGATCAGGTTTCCAGGGACAAGGAAGAGGATTATGTTGGCTATGCCCATGGTCTGACCTCTGATTACATCCCTAAAGAATTAAGTGATGACTTATCTAAGTCCTTGAAGCTTCCAGAACCTCCATCTTCAATTCCAAACCCTCCATCAAAGAAACTAAAGGTATCAGATGAGCCTGTAGAAGCGAAAGAAGTTTAACACTAAAGACTTGAAGACTGGCAAGAAAAACAGCAAAATGACTGCAGTTCAGAAGGCTTTGGCTAAAGTTGACAAGAGTGGAATGAAAAGCATTGATGCTTTTTTTTTTTTTTTTTTTTTTTTTTTTTTTGGTGCAAAAAATAAAAAAGCTGGAAAGATCTGTAGTGGAGAGAATAACATCTGATGAAGCAGAAAGAGAAGTTGCCTCTTGCTTGTTTTGTCTTCCCTCTCTTTGCCACTGCCACCCCGACCCTTAGTCACTCCGCTGACAAACAGGAGAAGTGGTTTTCAGATCCTGCCAGTAACTTGCTGGGGTCTGACTTTGTGTCTAACAAATTATGGGCAGGTGATTGTGTGAGCTACTGCCTGGGGTCTCTGGAATGTTTGCCATAAGGAAAAGTCATCCAGTGAGCAGGGTTTCAGAATCACCACTTGCTTAGGAAGTTTCGAGTGATGGCTGCCTAGTCTCTGCTCCATCATGTGTGGCATCTACTGAAATGAGCTGGACAACAAAACTGTACATTTCGGTAAATCTTACAATTAGCTGTATTTTTGTTTGTATGAATTCATGTTCTTTGTAAAAAAAAAGTATAAAACTAAAAAAGTGCATTCTCAAAAAAAAAAGAAAGAAAGAAAGAAACTCAAGGACGTGAACTTTAAAAATAAGTGTAACTATAAAACTAAAAGAAAAAATGAAAATTAAAAAATAAACAGAAAAGGAGAAAGAAATGAGAAAATAATTATGAAATATTTACAAATATGGTGGCTAAATCTAATTTTGTAAATAATTATTTTAAGTTTACATTATCAAAATATACCATTAAAAGACAGAGATCCATGCATAATTGTTCATGCCCTTAATCCTAGCATTTCGGAGGCAAGGATAGATAGACCTCTATGAGTTTGAGACTAGTGTGGTCTATATAATGAGTTCTAGGCCACTCAGGGTTACATAAAAAGACCCTGTCTTTAAAAAAATAGATTATATTTTTTAAAAAATGCAACTGTATTCTATCTATAATTCCATTTAAATAAATATATAGATACATGAAAACTAAAAGTAAGAATCTAAGCAATAGTGAAGAGGCTACCTTAAATGACCTTCCCCTGTAATGAGAGTAATGACTACCTTAAATGCCATCCTAAAGTCTTCATCCAGTAGCTGATGGAAGCAGACTCAGACATCCACAGCTAAGCACCAAGCTGAACTCCTGGAATCCAGTTGTAGAAAGGGAGAGGGATGAGCAAGGGGATCAAGACCAGGCTGGAGAAACCCACAGAAACAGCAGACCTGACCAAGTGGGATCACACAAACCCCAGTTGTAAAACTGTGGACTCAGCATTGGACTGAACCAAGTCTTCTGAATGTGGTTATCAGTTAGAGATCATGGGCAGTCTACAGGACCTCTCACAGTGGAACCAGTATTTATCCCTAGTGCACAAATGGACTTTGGGAGCCCATTCCCTATGGAGAGCTACTCTTTCAACCTAGATACATGGAGGAAGGCCCTTCCCCAAATGATATGACATACTTTGATGATCCCCCATGGAAGGCCTCACCTTCCCTGGGGAGTGGATGGGAGGGATGGCAGGGTCAGTGGGGGGGAATGGAAGGATGGGAAAGAGAGGAAACTGGGATTGATATGTGAAATAATATTGTTTCTAAATAAATAAAAAATTAAAAGATTTAGAAATAAACATTCAATGATATTGTTTTTAAAAAAAAAGAAATTGAGGAACATGGGAAGCCAGCAAGATGGCTCAGATGGTAAAGGCCACCACCCACAGATACATAAACTCACACAAATGCAAACATGCATATACACATATATGCACAGCACACACATACACACGAAAGAGAAAAACAAAAACAGAAACATGTTGAGATACTTTGATAGACTCACTTTTTCAGAAAAACATGAAGGATACAAATGTCCCTGTGCTCATTTCTGATATCATTTTTCTTCCCCATTTTTCTGATTCATGAGGTCTGGAGAAACATATTAATTTAGACTCTTTTCTTATCAAATCTCTGCCTCAAAGGCAAACATTTTCTGACTTTAACCTTTGCTACTCAACACTTAAGAATGATATCTCAGGTAGAAATACCAACTTTCTACCTTAAATAATTCACAAGAACTTTTTGTTTTTATTAACATACTTACTGTCCTTTCCTCTTGGAAAAGTGGCTCCATCTTTCAAGGCTACATTTTGTATCTTGATTTCATAAATGAATAAGGTGTTTGAGATTCATACACATGAGAAGACCTTGAGACAGAAACACAACCTGGGCATTCTGTCTGTACCTCTCCTCCTGCTGTCCCTAGACTTGAGTATAGCTCCTTGCATTCATATTGAACCTTGTCACATAGGGACTCTGGTGGTTTGATAATCTAAGGATGGTATTCAGTGCCTGAAGTACATCACAAAAGCTGGCAAGGACTGTGCCTGGCCCTGCTATGAGGCTCAAACAGAAGTGACCTGTTCCATATGGAAACATTTGTCACTCTGAGGGGAAGTTCTACAGAAACCACATCCCCATTTGCTGGGAACCCTATCTTCAAAGTAGAGAAGGAAAGATGGGGTTTAGTGGCAGGTGAGTTCCCTCCCAGATCCTGATATTGATATATTGCTTATGGGGGTGTGACTAACAAATATCTGTGACTGTGAGACCTGGATGAACATTTAACTTTATTATGTAGAACTCAAATATACCCTTTCTCCTATCTTACATTCTTTTGGTCAAATACATAATTATTTAACTTTATAAAATTGAGTACATGGCTCCAGCTCCCACATTGCAGTTCACAACCAGAAATACAATTACTATAGCAACCAGCAAGTACAGTTCTGAACATTTAAATAAAGGATTTCAGGCCAATATGCCAGAGACTCATGCACTGCTATAGTTACTGCAGCACTATCCATAGGGGCCAAGCTATTAAAATTACTTGCGTTCATCTATAGGTATATGAAAAGGAAAGGTGAATATCCACAATGCAATACAAATCAAAAATAGCAAAACCTTGTCACTCTGGACAACACAGATTAACCTGAAGGATGTCATGCTAAATGGAATATAGCCAGGTAGAGAAAGAAACATACTTAATGATGTTGCAGGTTTAAGTTGGGGGGGGGTCTTAAGTTACAGAATCACAGACTAAAGTGGTAGAATTCCCCCCCCCCCCGTCAGCTTTGTTTCGTCAACGATTGGTACTATTTACTGTCACTCAAGAAATTCTACCCAATCATGGTGGAGACTCTGGATCTGTCCAATCAGACCCACGGTTTGAGGCGGGGCGTACTTTCTCAATCTGTCTCCGACTCCACCATGTTGCTTCCGGTTTCCGCCGAGGCGAGGTTGGTCACCGTTTGTTTGGCCCTACGTTGTAGTAGGTAAAAGCCACAGAGAGGCTGACATTTGGCATCAAGGTGAGTACAGTCTATGGGGAACCGGCGGGAGCTGGCCGGGGTCGGTCCTGAGCTCTTCGGCTGTTCCGTGTGCAGATGGCGCTGGGCTGGTAACCTGTGCGGGTTTGATCTCCTCCTATCTCTCCCCCAATTCCGGAAGCTGTGCTCAGCCTGCCCTGGGCCCCAGAAGTGGACCCTGTTCCCGAGTCCGGCTCCTGCGGCTCCTGAGCGTAGTCCTTCCTCCACCAGCTTGTCTAGTGTGTGTCCCCACGCTGCAGTTCAAAAGGACTTTGCAGACGTTCCTGTAACGTTTTATTGTGTAGGCTTCACCAGAGAGAGGAAGGCATGAGGAGTCGGTCAATTAGAGAGGGAAAAGCTGGTGGGGAGGATGTTGAGAGGGAAGCAATGGCTGGAAGCCTAGGTGAAGTGGCCTGTGACTTTTGAGTGTTATCAGTTAGGTCACGTTACCAGAGACTTAGCCATCACTGCCCTCTTGCCAAGGGCATCTCTACTTCGCAGTGTCGGTAGAGACCTGTTCTGTCTGTAGGGAAAAGCTATGACACAGCATTAGTTCACGGAGGAGAACTCCTGTCTTACTGTGGTTCCAGCACCTTTGGACCTACACTCAGAACGGTGACTTCCAGCAGCCTGTGGTAGCTTTACCTCTAGTGTTCTGAAAACCCTTATACTGTTTTTTTTAAAACAACAACAACAACAAAAAACGGTGTTGAAAGCGTTATGTAGGGACACAAAGTTGTCATCTCAGCCAGTTCCCCTGGGAAAACTCATTTTAAAAACTGTACAGGTCACATTTGTTGTAGCTACACTGGCCAGAGCACGTGAATTTGTGGGAAGGAGCTATACCAAGGCCTGAGTGCAGGGAGGCCAGCCATTGTGAAACATCACTGCCAAAGTCCTGCAGTGAATACACTCAGGGTTAAGTTTTGCCGGTATAGTCTTGAGAGAAAACCATCTAGATTAGATGAGACATGCTTTGTATGAAATATAAATATGTAAAACAAGACATGTGCTAATAGGACAGTTCTGTGTGGTTCATTTATATTGAACTGTACTATTCCCTAAATAGCATTTGTAATTTCTCTGATTCAATAATGTTCTTTAACACCCAATCTTAAAACATTGAATCATTTCAGAATAACATAGTTATTAAGCAAGCAGCAGATATTTCCATTAACTTGTATGTAATTGAATGCTGAATCTTTACCATTTAATAAAATGGTTCCTTCAAATAAAAAGTGTTCCTTCAACAAGATCTGTTGTGGCAGTTATCAAGTATAACACACTACTTCCACACAGGGAGACATTTTTGTTGTCTTGTAGCTTTCTCCCTGTCTGTGTGAATTGAGATCTGAAAGCAAGGCATATCGAGTGAGTTAATTTCTGTTGACCTTCTCTTCTAGCTGTGATTGCACAGTCCTCTCATGTCTCAAAGAGTTAGGACAATGGACACATCTGAGGTAAGTTTATAGTTAACCTCACCTTGTTTTATATTATATTTTAGGGCTTTTGAAAATTGGCATGGAAGAAAAAACTTGTGTAAGATAGATGTGTGCAAATGATAGCATTGGATGTGTTGACATATAAGGTCTCCCACCAACCACCCCCACCCCTTGGTTTTTTTGAGACAGGTTTCTCTGTGTAACAGTCCTGGCCACCCTGGAGCTTGCTTTGTAGACCAGGCTGGCCTTGAACTCACTGAGATCCGCTTGCCTCTGCCTCCCCAGTGCTGGGATTAAACGTGTACCTGCACTGTCTGGCAATATAAGGTCTTTTATAGAGTGAAAAAGTCGCATGAAAATTGGTCCCTGGTTTTCCTTATATGGTCTGTTTGTTGTAGGTGTTGGATTAACTCAGAAAGTGCCAGCTTTTCATGTCCTTTGAAGTCCAAACAGGCTTCATGGACACATGCATGATGTGAACAGAGCTTCATCTCCCAAGCTGGAGATGAACACAGCATTCAGTGGTGTCAGTTAACGAGTGCTCATACTTGATGGGTTCACAGGGGTTTTCTTTGCTGGCTAAAGTTGTATGGTTCCAACATAAGTGGGGAAGACCCCACTTATGTCAGATGAGACCTGGAATGTATGAAGACAATGTACTGCGACTCCTTCATTTCTCTCCCTACATTTTCTCTGCTTGTGTGTATGTGTAGATCATAACAATGTTCAAACATACATTTCTAGTAATAATTTGTCTTTACTGTTTGCATTTTTACTTCTACTCACTGTACTCTTGGTTCAGAGTCTCAGTCTTTCATCACAATGAAATGGAAACAGTATTCTATGCCAGTTGCCTTACTTAATCTTCTGCCATGCTGCAGAATTCTGCCCATCATCTTTACCAGGAAGCTCTTCATCTCAGTCCTGATACTGATGATACTTTCTTAGCTGATTTTCTGAGTTCTTTTTCTCCTTATCATAGCTTATCCTTTTCTTCTGTTCAGTTCCCTACTTATTCCATCTTAGAGGACTTCTGTGATCCAGCCCTTTGGTTTGAGTTTAGTGACTATTACTTGGTAGCATGGACTGCTTGTTTAGCTTTCAGATCATAAGTTTAACTCCCGTGTTGATAAGCAAAGGCACATCAAGCTCTGTGTGTCAACATGGAAGTCATAACCTCCTTTTTTTTTTTTTTTTTTTCCTTGTATATGGTATTGATGCCAATCTACCTTGTGGCCTTGATGAGTACACTGAAAGAAGGGATTCCCCCTCTCCCCCAACCCTTCTTTTTATTCCCTTTACTTCCTTTCCTGTCCTTTGCTCCCTGAGGTCTAATGTTATGAGGTACAATTCCTGCTGGCTTTGTTGTTCATTCTTGTTCTAGTGGCAGCATGTGATGCTATAGATGGTAAGGAAGTGTGGTTATCTAAAGACAAGTATATTCTTTCTTGTTCACACTGGAACTTTTCGTCTCTGCTAGGCTGGAAGGGTCTGTTCTCAGTGGTGATGCCTTTGTGTTAATGAGCTGTACTGCTAGCAAGTGGGTGTGGTGAAGGCCTTGGGAGTAAGTGGAGAAAACAGAAGTTAGTGGTGGTGGGGAGGGGGAGATACCATTGTGTACAAGTCATGAGAAAGGCACATAGAGCATAAGTAAAAATGGGAGCACATATCTGAATAATGTACACATCTTGCTTATATATTTTGTGTCAATGCTTCCATAGATCATACAAAGTATATTCCTTGCTCAAAAATGTCTTGACATAATTTTAAATTCAGGAAACAGGACCAGCTAAATTGAAGTCCCTATGGGGTTGGAGCAGGACTCTCTTACAAAGGCTGTAAGTACACTGGGTCAGGTTCAACAGCTTCCCTGGTGTTTCCCATAGACAGAAGCTGGAGTGTAGGAATCCACAGGTAAAGATAAGAAGAGTATGCTGCTCTTTTACCTTAACTGACCTACACAGTGGATCAGGTTCATGGTCAGTAACTTAGAAGAAACACTGGATTTAAACATTGAGGCCAAGGACATTTGGAGAACAGGACTGTTGACATATTATCTGGATGGTTGAAAGAGATAATGGCATTTGTGTCTCCTGTCAAACCTCATCAGAAATTACCTCAGCAGAAGACTTTATAAGTGAAGTACTTAGCACTAGGAACTCTCAAGACAGGGTCTCCTTATATGACCTTGATTGGCCTGGAACTTGCTCTGTAAACCATGCTGATCTTGAACTCACAAACCACCTGCCTGTGCTTGCCAAGTGCTAGCCTTAAAGGTATGCACCACCACACCCAGCCACTAAGTCCATTGTTTTGTTTCTGTTCCCATAGACACATGTTCTACTGACCTAGCTGTCTTTTATTGACTAAGAGCAGTACTTCTACCAAAGGCCACAACCATGAGTCTATTCATCTGGTGGGACTGATTTATCCGAAGCACTTTGCTTCTTATGACTCTAAGGCAATAGGTGGAAAGGGAGATAGTGATGGTTTTCCTGAGAAATCTGGATTACCAAGGGAAAATTAGACTAGTCTACAATGGAGATAAGGGAGGATGTTAATACTTTTGTGTTGCTGTGACCAAATAAATACCTGAAAGAAACCACTTAGGGGAGGAAAGATTTATTTTGGCTCATTGTTTCAGAGGTATCAGTCCATCATGGCAGTGATGGCAGGTTGGAGTGGTTCCATCAGTGGAGGTGAGAGTATGAAGAAGAGCAGCTGTTCACACCATGGCAGACCTGGAACCTGAGAGAGATGTGGGAACCAGGGCCAGGTATAACCTTCAAAGACATCCCATTTCTAGTCTACTTCCAACAGCCAGACCCTACCACCTAAACCCTCTGTAGCCTTCAAAGAAACACTGCATACTTTGGATCACATGCTCAAAACAGTGAGCCTGTAGGGAACATTCCATATTCAAAGCATGAAAGGAAGAGTATTCCTAGCATACAGGAAATCACCAAGGGCATCTCTTAGTGTAACTGTGCCCTCTTGTAGTCAAAACAACCCCGTTAGGCAGGACTTCATATAGTCCAGACACTTCAATTGTGACTGTGTGGGTCAGCTCTCCTAGTAAAGAAACAAGGCCTGCTGGGACACTTGCTGGAGGCTGGGGAAATAGAGTGAGTACTAGAATAAGATAGACAGCTAACATATATATACATACATACCCAGTTAAAGAAATGAAGACTAGTTATGTCAGCTATTTCTGTTTTATAGAAAGTATGTTTACGTCTGAGGATGTAGCTATGGTAGATCACTTTTCAGCAATGTTTTATCAAGCAAATATTTTGGGTGTTTATTTTTTTCTGTAATTTTTCTTAGGTATAGCATTAGGAAGAAACATTTTAGAAGTGACTGCATCTTTTTGGGACTGATATTTCTTTGTCTTGGAATCTAACTTTAATGTGTATGAATTCAAATTTCTCAGCTTTTATTATAGTTGTGTGTTTATTGATTCTACTTCCCTTCAAAAAAAGGTATTTCCTCACTAAAAATTAGAACAGTTCTGACCCAGACTCGGTATGAGCTGTAAACTTGGTTCAGTGTGCATATGTGGTGTTTATTAGTGTTTGTTTCTAGAGTTCCCTGGTCCATCCTCAGGGCTGGATCTTCTCTAGCTGTAACTATATTTCCTCGGATGTCAGAGCTATAGGTTATATTTTGATAAGCAACAACTCGAGCTTTGTGAAGTTACATAAGCAAGGTGTATATCACATCTGTGGCCATTATAGCTTCACAGAATAGCTTCCTGGAGTTTACTGAACAGTGAGGAAAAGAGCAAACCAAATGCCAGCTTCAAAGGTCATCACGTCTGCAGGTGATTCCATGGGCAGCGTCAGCCAGTCCTGTTTGGGTTGGAGGGAGGTAGGAATGGAGGTATATGCTCTGTTCACATAAACAGCACTGAAAATGAGTGAGTAGGCAGTGGTCACCATGTCCTGGAACCCTCTTCCACACATATGCCAGCACATCCAAGGTACCAGCTTTTTAGTGCACTGTGCTTATTATCTTGTGTCTCAAAATGATGGCAGGATTTCATTTGATACCCATTATGACTGCTATTGTTTTAGATAAATTTCAGCCTACTCTGTACAAAGTATAACAGATTGGCATATGTGTGGGAACCTGAATGAGCTGAAGGGTAAACTTGAGAGGCATCAACTTCACTACAGTCTTGGAGTCTTGGGCAGGTGTGTGGATGGCCTTAACCCTGAAGATTGGACACCTTCCTAGATGAGGCTCTGATTCTGTGCCCTGGGAGCTCCTGGTCATTACTCTCCAAGCCTATGTCTCCAGTTAAGGAACTTCTTACTCTGTTTCCCAGGAAGTTTGATCTTCCGATGATGAATGTATTGTGCTCAGAGAATAAGAAGCCCTTTCCCTCTTTCTCATTCACACGTCTGAATGCTGTTTCTTGTCGAAATCAGTTACTAGGCACCAGCTTAAAAGGGTCATCAGAGGTGACAGATCACTTCCACAGATATTTCCACACGCAGTGTCAGCTAGTCCTGACTGAGTTGAAGTGAAGTGGGAATGCAGGTGTGTGTTCTGTTCTGGGTCTATACATACCACCTTAATTTGACTGTGTTCCAAAAGACATTAGGAAACAAGTTATCACGAGAAAATAGTTGTTCACAGGTTAGCAAAACCACAGGAGAAAAAAAATCTAATGTTTCCTTTCGGCAAATCATCCCCCTTCTTTCATGTAGCATAGTTAACACATCAGTTCCTATATAGTGGTTTATATAGAAAGCTTGGAAACAAGCTGGTCTTTAATGAAAGACAAAGGAAATTAATGAAAATGCCATTCTTTACTTTCTGTTGCTGCTCTGTGTTTCCTTCTGTGATGAGTTCCCAATTCCTTGCTACCTCTTTTGTCTGCCTATCCTCCAACTCTTGGTCTCCCTGCCTCAGCCTACTGGAGGAGTGGAATCTGTGGGGCTTACCACATTGCATGTCTTCATTCTGTGTTCATCCTGTTTCCCAGGGTGGGAATTGTGAAGTGATTCTTCTCCTCTGGCTCTGCCCTAAGTCATGGGATGACTTGTAAAATATCGAGGTGGCTTCTTCTTGCTTATATATTGCCTTATAGGATGCTAGTGATGTTTATTTCTGTTGGATCTAGCAGCTCTTGTAAACTTAGGAAGGGCATTTGTAGATGCCTATGACCGTACTTTATGAATAATATACAGACAACAGTGACTACTTGGATTTGTAATTGTTGAATTGTGTATTTAAGTGGGATACCAAAGGATTATCAATTGCTTACATTTGTTTTCTGCCTTTTCTCTCTATCATTACTAAATTAGTGTGTTTGTAAAGCATTTTATAGACAATTTTTATTCCATGATAAGAAAATTTTTATGTGTATCTTGTGTAAATGATGCTTGTGGACCTCCTGTATTCCTGTCTCTGACCCAAGGCTGAAGGCAGCTTGGGCTGAAGAAAGTTGTTTCATTACAGGGGTTGGTGACATTTGAGGATGTCTCTGTGGACTTCACCTGGGATGAGTGGCAGGACCTGGATGATACTCAGAGGAAGCTCTACAGGGATGTGATGCTGGAGACCTACAGCAGCCTGCTGTCCTTGAGTGAGTGAAAGTCCCCATTAATCCTATTAGAAGCTTATTCCTTTTTGGCAAATATAGGAACTACTTCCAAGCATTATTTTTTTGTGCTAGTGACCAAACTGGGTCTTGTGTAACAATAGGTAAGTTATTTTATTATTTTTTATTTGAATATTTTACCTCCATGTGTGTATGTGCACCATGTGCATGCAATGCCCAAGGAAGTCAGAAAGGGCATTGGAGCCCCTGGAACTGGAGTTACAGACAGTTGTTAGTGGTCATGTGGTTGCTGGGAATCAAACCTAAGTCCTCTGCAAGAGTAGCAAGTATTCTTAATAGCAGAGCCATTTCTCCAAGCTACTTACTATTTGGTGTGTATGTGTGTTTGTTTGTTTGTTTGCTTGCTTTTTTAAGGTAGGGTCTCAACATAGCTCTGGCTGTCCTGGAACTCACTATGTAGACCAGGCTGTCCTAGAACTTAAAGAGATCCAACTGCCTCTGCTTTCCAAGTGCTGGGATTAAAGGCGTACACCACTATGTCCAGCACTATTTATATTTTTAACTGGCACATCATAGTTGTACATATTCATGAAGATGTTCTGCCTCTCCGGTTTAGCAGCATTAGACTAGATGAGCAGCTCCCCTCTAGTACTCTTCTATTCCTTATTATAGTGGGTATGTATGCCTCATTGAGCTGTTAACACAGTGAAAAGCAGCACAGAACAGAGAGGGCTTCATGTCATGTTGAACAGCAGAAGCTAAAGTTTTATATTTATTTCTTAAAAATCTCTCCCCATATATTGCACGTGATAGTGCACACCTTTGATCCCAGCACTCGGGAGGAAGACACAGACCGGTCTCTGTGAGTTCAAGGCCAGCCAAAACTACATAGAAACTGTCTCAAAATAACAAAAACCAAATGTACAACAGCTTCCTGTCAACTTCTCTTTTGGTTTTGTGCTTGTATCAGTTTTTATATTTGTGCTATTGCTGGTATTTTCTTTGTACTAATTTCTACTTTGCTGTTTTATCCTCTCTCTGCTCCTCTTTCATTCATTGTTTTTGTATAAGGACTTACTGCTTCCGTTTTATTCCTTTTCACACATCTTACCACATTGTTAATGGTGGTCTAGTTTTTATTTGTTGCTATGGGGTTTTTTGTTTGTTTGTTTGTTTGTGTTTGGTTATTTTTAACAGGACAGTGTTATCTACTTTCAGTGTACTTTTCATGAATTTTTTTTTTAAATGCCTGACTTGGGTGGGGGAAGGGCTGGATGTATATTTTGCTGTTTGCATGTGGTCCATGCACATCTGTTTGTGGAGCTTGCCTGACCCTTTGCATGCTTGAGGAGGCCACAGGAGGCTTCATCTGCGTGCTGTGTGCTGGATCCAACTCTGATCATCTTGATTGTACAAGCATTTATAAATCCTCTGACCCCATTTGAAGATGGGATCTTCCTGTGTAGCTTTGGTTAATGTATTAGTCACTTTTCTGTTCTGTAGTAATACACCATGATCAAGCATTTAACTGGGCTCATGGTTTCAGGAGGTTAGAGTCCACGATGGCAGAACAAAGGCATGGCAGCAGGAAGAGCTAAGAGCTCACGTCTTTATCTGCAAACAGGATGCAGAAAGAGTACACGGGGAATGGCCCATGACTTTAGTGACACACCTCCCCAATGTCCAAGCAGTTTTACCAAATGGGGAACCACATATTCAAATGTAAGAGTCTATGGACGTCATTCTTATTCAGAGCATCACAGCTATGCTGCAGCTCACCATCCTTTTACCAAACTCTGCCCCATGTGCAGATTATAGATGTGACCCATTGTGTCAAGCCAATCCTTACTATTGATTTCTAGTTTTGTTCTTTGTGGTCTAGGACACCTAGGGTTTCTTTCAGTTGTTTTTGGTTTTTGTTCCTTTTTTGTTTGTTGATACATTGAAGTTTTTTTGTTTTGTTTCCTAACATTTGCTCTGTCCTGGAGAGTGCTTTGGTAGAATAATTCTGTGATGTTTAAAGCCTCTTTGGTCTCTTAAGTAAAGTTTCATTGCAGTGTTCATTTACTTCTCATGTGTTTGCATTGTATAATTGGGTCCTCCAGCACTGGTGTGTGTGAGTCTGTGTGTGTGTGTGTGTGTGTGTGTGTGTGAAATGTTATAAAATGTCTATATATGTAGCATATATCGTTGTAATGACCTTTATCTTTTTTTACACTGTTTGGCTTTAAAGTTACTTTGTCTGACAAGTATAGTTAACAGTTTTGAGGTCTGTGTGTGTTGGCCTTTGCTTCAGTCCCTTCACTGTCAATCTGGGTGTATCTTCACTGGCACAGTGACTTTTGCTAAGGTAGGGCATCATTAAGTCTATTTCTGTTGGCCATTCTGCCAGCCTGTATCTTCTGATTCCCAGATTACATTCTTACAAAATTCTATTCTGGGGTTTTGTTGATGCTGTTTCTCTTCATGTCTCCTGTTCTTTTCTGATAAATCTTTGCTGTTTTGTGATTTCCTGTACAGATAGGAATTGTTTTTGCCTTTTTGTCTTTCCATATGTTTTCATGATGGTCACCATTTCTTTGCAAGGCAGCCCAAGGTAATGAAGGTACATTTGGAAGCTTTCATTTCTATTGGAATGTCCTGGCTATGATACTATTGCTTGGAAATACTTTTTGATAATTTTTAATATATCATTTCATTTTTTTCTTGGTCTGTAAAGTTTCTACATTTGGAGATGTTTGCTGTACTATAATGGGTATTGTTTAGTGTGTGACATACTGTTTTGCCTTATTTAAAGTTTGTATTGCTATATATATATATAATTTTTTTTTCTGTGTTGTGGAGCATGTGTATGCCATGGGTTGTATGTGGAGGTCAGAAGACAACTTGCAGAAATTAGGTCTCTCTGTTCATCATGTGGTTCCTGGGGATTGAACTCAGGTTATCAGTCTTAGAAACAAGTGCCTTTAGCTGCTGAACTATCTCATCTGCTTTTTTTCCACTTTCTTAATTTGTAAATTTTTGTTTTTTAAAGCTATAATTTCTCAGCCAGGTACAGTGATGCACACCTTTAATCCTCCCAGCACTTGGGAGGCAGAGGCATGTGGATCTCTGAGTTCAAGGCCAGCTTGGTCTACAGGATGAGTTTCAGGACTGCCTGGGCTACATGTGGAAAACTTGTCTTGAAAACCAAAAAGAAAAGATCTCTCTCCACAGACTTTCCTCTAAAATTCAGTGCTAACATTATTTAAAAAAAAAAAAAAAAAAAAATGTGCCACATGCTAGCTCTCATGCTGTCTTAGAAGTCAGTCTTTGTTTTCTAGGATTTTTTTTTAATGATATTCAATTATGTGTGTCTGTGTGTAAATTTATGTGAGTACGGTGTCCACATAGGATGCAAGAAGAAGGCAGATCTAGAGCTGGAGTTTACAGTTGTTTGTGAGCTACCTGATGTTAGTGCTAGGAACTGAACCCTGGTCCTCTGCAGGAGAAGCATTTGTTCTTCACTGCTGAGCCGTCTCGCCAGTCCTTTCTTGGACTTTTCATAGTTGACTGTAATACACCTTGGGGATTGATCTGTTGGTTTACTCTGTGGATGTTCTTAAAGCTCTCATAGAATGTTCTCATTGGTCCTGTCACTGCCCAATGCTCATAATGATATATGTATGTTGATTTTATGTGTATTGGAATTTTACCTGCATGTATACCTGTGCACAACATGAATACAGTGCCTTCAGAAGCAAGAAGGGGCCATCTGGGCTCCTGGGACTGAAGTTTGAAACAGTTGTGACCCCCCACTTGGGTTCTGGGAATTAGACCCAAGTCCTCTGCAGCCAGTGTTCTTAACCTCCAAGCCATCTCTCCAGCCCAATGTATAGTCATTATTTAAAGTACCTGACTTAGCAGTGAGCCAAAACTTATACAATATTTCCTATTAATAGACCAGTGTGATCCCAAACCTGAGTTGATTCTGAAGTTGGAGCAAGAAGCTGGGCCATGGAAGGAAGAAGATATCCTCCCAGGTCAGTGAATATACCCTGGATAGGGATGCTAGGTTGAGAAAGCTCATTAACTGGTGTGTTGAGCTCTTTTCTCCATTTTTCCCATATTCCAAACTTGAGAATGAGTGTTCCTACTCATCCAACAATTGGTACGTACAGTTTGCAAGGGAGGCTCTTTCATGTAAGTGCATACCACTTATGTTAGTCAGGGTTTCCTAGAGGAACATAGCTGATAGAATAAACACACATATACATACGTATGTGTGTACATACATGCAGACACACACACACAGGATTTATTAGAGTGGATTGCAGACTGTGGCCCAAGTAGTCCAACAAAGGCCATACCAACAGAAAGGTCAAGCATCTGGTAGTTGTTCAGTCAGGTGAATAAGACTGAATGTCTCAGCAGTACCATTTTGTGCTGGAGTCTCTGAGGATCTCTAGAGAGCTTCTGTCTTCAGTATGCATTGAAATCCTGAAGAGGTTCTAAAACCTCAGCAACAAGGTAGATGCACTTGCCAGTGAGAGTGAGGACAAACAGGCAAAAAGCAAAAGTTTCTTTCTTCCATGACCTTTTATATGAGCTGCCACACACTGTTTGGTTGAGAATTAGATTGGGCCTTCCCACCTCAAATGATCCAGTCCCTCACAGGTGTGTACAGCTGCATGGGTTTAGTTGATTCCAGATATATAGTCAGGTTGACAACCAAGATTGTTCATTACACCACTTTAGTTATTTTGCCATGTATTATCTTGGGCTTAGCAAATTCAGTTCAAGCCTTCACATATCAATTCATTCCCCTTTCTAGTTTTTGTAATATATTTTCTTAGGTTTAGCAAATTCTATTCAACCTGTGGTTGTTCTTAGACATATTTGTTGGTGAGGTTATTTTATTTAAGTTCTTCTAGTCTGTTACTCATTTTTACAGCCTGATTTGACCATTTATTCATGTATTTATCACTTGTTATTTGCTCCCTCTTGTACACTTGTTTGTTATTCTGGAATAAACAGTGGTAAGTCAAGAAATTTATCAACAGGCTAAAGAGCTCTCTTGTGTTGAGAAATAGAAATTTTGGCATTTTAAAAAAATCATCACCCCTTCCCCAAAGTCTTCCCTGAATGAAAGAAGAAGAAAAAAAAAAAGTTAAGGTCTAAAGAACATGCAATTTTAAGATGATCACTTCCTTTTGATTTAATTTAATTTTAGGCCATTAATTTCTAAACATTAATATACAGTATGTAGTTAGACAAGAACTCTCAAGAGTGCTTATTATTTTATTAAGAATCCAATTTTGATGTTATTAGTTTGAAACTAATACTGAAAACATAGTTCTTTAGGCAGCTCACCAATGAATTAATAGAATATAAGAAAAGATTCTTGAAATGAAATCGTGTATATGACAATAGCAGAATCTGTGAAGCTAAGAGGTACCTAGTGCAGATTTTAGGTTGGGTGACATCTAGGAGACCTTGGACTTGAAGGTCAAACGACCCACAGATTGCTTGTTTCTGGGTTCATATTTTGTGAAGGGTTGTACTGAGTAATTAGCCTTCCACTTTTTTTCTTTGTGGAAATCACTCTGATTTGACATATGCAGTGAATTTGTTCAGGGAATTCCATTTGTTTTAGAAATTTTAACATAGTCAAAGTGCCAAAGCATAAATAAAGGCATGGAGAAGCATGATTTTATGGGTCAGCATGTCTGTGTTCACGTGGATAGGAAAGTGCCAGTCATTCATGCCAAACCTATGCAGCAATTTCCAGTATTGTGGGTTCACCTTGACTTAGAGAACCTAATGTTTGCAGATTTCCCTATGAGTTATATTTAATTCAGATTAAATTAGGAATATTAAGAATCCATCTGTATATGGAGGAAGATTATTAGTATTTGGAAAACACTGGAGGTGTCTGAATTATCTCATCACGACATTCTTTCTTAGGTAATAGATAAGTCTACTACAGTCGATCTGTATGGGCACTAACCAGAAAGCCTTCCCTTTCTTTATTTCTTCCAGATATGCAGCATGTGAATGACCCAAATGAGATCAGCCAGGACAATCGACAGATACATGGATGCAATCTGGTAATTGCCAAGAGCAGCACAGCAGCTGAGGAGAGGGCTAAAGCAGGAAAAACATTTACTAGCTCAAACTGTGTTTTAAGGCTGGCTATAGAGAGTGGCCTGTCTTCTCGAATGAGACCTGGGGCACTTAATATGTGGGATAATGCACTCCTCCCTGGTGACCACAGGGAGATGCAGGCTGTAGAGAAACTTGATCTTCCTAATGTAACCAGGATGTCCCCCAGATTTCCTGAGCCTTGTAGTCTATATCACAGTACTAAATGTGAAGAAAAGCATTTTCAGTGTCATGGGCACGGTGAAGCTTTCCACCCAAAGACAGTGTGGTTACAGAACACATTTCTTATCAGAGATCCCTCCAGTAAGTTGAGGAACTACAGAAAAGGAATAGAAAAGTTAGCTCTTCCTGCCCAAGGGGGAACCCAGCAAACTTACGAATGTAAAGTATGTGGAAAATTGTTCTATAAAAATTGTCATCTCACACAGCACTTAAAAACACACAAAGAAAAGAAATACTATAAAGGTAATGATTGTGAGCCAATATTCAATATACAATCAAACCTCCCTAAACATCAGTATTTGAATGTGGGGGGAGAGCCTTATACATGTAATGAAGATGAGAAATACACTTGTCAGAGATCAGAAAAAAGTGTTCAGCCAAGAATCGGGGGGGATGGAAGGAATGTGTATGGGAAAGCTGTTTGCTCAAAATTAAATCACAGTGTTCAACAGAGTCCTCACAAGAATGAGAAATCCTATGAATATAGTATATCTGGAAAAACAATTAGTAAGTCAGACCTCCGACTTGAGACGCTGCACAGATATGAGAAAGCATATGAATGTAAAACATGTGGGAAAACCTTTAACCATACACATTTCTACTCACATTCAAGAGCTCACACAGCTGAGAAACCCTCTGAGTGTAAAGACTGTCAGCAGTCGAAACTCATTGTGAATCAGCAAACTCACACCCAGGAGAAACGCTATGTGTGTAACGTGTGTGGAAAAGCCTTTTACAAAAGAGCCCACTTACATGCACATCAGAGAACTCACACAGGTGAGAAGCCGTATGACTGTAAGGAATGTGGGAAAACCTTTAGGCTGAAGTCATTTCTTGTTGTACATCAGAGAATTCACACAGGTGAAAAGCCCTTTGAATGTAACACATGTGGGAAAAGTTTTAAGCAGAGGACAAGTCTGTATACGCACATAAGAATTCACACAGGTGAGAAACCTTATGAATGTAAAGAATGTAGGAAGTCTTTTATTCTCAAGTCATATCTCACTGTACATCAGAGAACACATTCAGGTGAGAAACCCTATGAGTGTGATATATGTGGAAAAGCCTTTAAGCAGAATTCTCACCTTCATGCACATAAGAGAACTCACACAAGTGAGAAACCCTATGAGTGTATTGTGTGTGGCAAAAGTTATAAGCAGAGTCCCAGCCTCTACACACATAAGAAAATTCATACAAGTGAGAAGCCCTATGAATGTAGACAATGCAGGAAATCATTTAGTTTGAAGTTCCATCTCACCAGACATCAGAGGACTCACTCAGGTGAGAAACACTATCAGTGAGAAGTGTGTGGATGAGCCTTTCGGCAGAGCTCACACCTGTGTACACCAGCACTCACCCAGGTGAGAAATTCTATGAATGGGAAGATTGGAGAACAACTGGCTGCCACTAGTCATCTGCCCATATTTATTAGGAGCTTTAGTGGTGAGAAACTCCATCAATGTTATGCATGTGAAAAGATCTGCCAGATGTCACACATCAGAGAATTCATGCAGATGACATATTTTTATAATTAAAAACTAATATCTAGCCAAAGATACATCAGAAAACTCACAAACGTGAGAAATCTTAAGAGCATATAAGTGTACAAAAATATCTCAACCATAAGATAACAACTCACTGCTTATTAAAACACATACAAATGGGTGAAATGTTGAAAAACCTTTCTCTAGATATCATATCTCAGCAGTCATTAGGTAATATACACCCTATAAGGAAACCCTATGAATGTAGAAAATCCTTCAACCATAGGTCACTGTTTACTGCATACCAAAGAAGACACATGGGGACATCTCCATGAATGTTGATTATGTGCAGAAAACACTTACTCAAGACAAACCACCGTGTCCACCTGAAAACTCAAAACTGAGAAACCCTATGACTATAAATACTGTAGGAAATATTTCAACCATAAGCCATCTGCTGCTGTACATGCAAGAAGTCACATGGGTGAGTAACCCTAAACACATAGGTGAGTATAATGTAAGCAGAGAACCCTTTAGGAGATGCCAAGTCTCTTTGCATTAAAGAACTTGCAGTTCTGAGGAACCCCAAGAGTGGTCTACAGGGAAATGCCTTTTTCAATAGGCAGACCTCTCTAAATAGCAGTGACTCTGATTGGAAGCACATGAGTCATGTATGTGGGAAACCCTTCTATTGGCTGTCAGACCTTCACTCATACAGAAGTAATCACTGTATGTATCTGTAAGAGTCACATAAGTCAGACCTCAGGAAATACTTGAATCAGCACCGAGGGGGACACTTTAAAGTAGGTAATAACATGGGCAATGTTTAAGAAGTCACTCGACAGGAATTCATCCCACAAAGTCCTTAGTTCCAGGTAGCAGACTACCATGTATGTGCTTCCCAAGATTTATTTCCTTTGCTGCACTCGTCAGCCCGTGTCTTGTAGTCCATTTCTGTTTGTGGGACCTCATGCTAAGCTCTTTAGTGGGATGTAAATGCTTGTGTTCTACTTTTCCATCCCACTGTCCCCCAAAGTCTTACAACAAACTCCACCTGGGTGCCCATCCATAGGTGTTTGGGAGCCATGTATAGAAAGGCACTGTGGCTTAGGAATATGTTTTTCCCCAGAGAGCTGTGAGTCTCCTGCATGTTTCTACCATCTCTCTAGTGTATGGAAGGGAGATCTGCACAATCTGTAGTAGTGGAGACCCACGGCCATTAGTTCACTCTAAGAGGTAGGGGAGACAAATAGATTGTCATTTTAAAGAACTATCAGGGGAGAGCACCTTGTTGCCACTCCTCATTCTCATGCTGCTTGTGAGGAAGAAGAAATTCTGATAAAATTCCCATAAATACTGGGTGTGTTTCTGGTAGGGGTCTCCCATTAAACAGACCATTGAATGCACATATATGTGTGAAACCTTTCAACAAAATTCCCTGTCAGGTTTCAAAGATCCTTGACCAAGGAAAATTATCACTATGGAATTTGTACATTAATTTTTCTTGGAGAGAACTGTTAAACCTCATATCCCAGTTGTTTTTCAAAATCTGCATGCCAGGAGATTCATGAATATTTGTAATGATGCCTATCAGTGGGCATCACTTTCTGTCTGGGGACATTTGTGATGTTAAAAAGAGTTTGGGAGAGGCCAGTGGCACAGGGATATAGCTGGATAGCTTACAGAATATTGGATAGTATACTCATGTATGTATGGTTCATGGATACAAGTATGTCATATCAATCATGTTCCATGAGACTAAGCAGAAGGGACTCTCCATGACTTTGTGTAATGTGTTACAGTGTACATTGATTAATGTAATAACATGCTGCAATGTGCATTGATATTTCTTGCATTCGATGCCATTCTAGCGTCTTCATATCTTCCTAGGCTCAGACATTGTATTATATACTTTCTTAGTCTAGTGACATCTAAATGTACATAACAGTTGTTACTGACTCAAGTAAATAAAGGTATTCTTTTCCTAATACGATGTCTTGGAGTGGACCTGTGTGTCTGATAGGGAAAGTATTTATAGTGAAGCACAAAAAAGAATGTTTGTTTGGAGCTGGAGTGTGAGTTGATTTTGGATTGTTAGGAACTGTAGTGCTCATTCCCCCGCACCCTCAGGGAGGTAATTTCCCTGTGTTCCTCTTTCTTACACTTTTAAATGGGGCACCAGCATAGGTGAGTTTGTGCACCAAATTCTCTGTAACTATGGGTCTTTAATTTCCATTAAAATACAGAACCCGTCTCAATGTGATATGCTGAAATTAAAGTACTTGCTGTGTAACCTGGAATGTGATGAAAGATACATCCTCTAAGCCCAGCATTGATGGCCATGCCTTTAGTCCCAGCACTTGGGAGGCAGAGGCAGGCAGATCTCTGAGGTCCAGGACAGCCAAGACTACTCAGTGAAACCCTATCTTGAAAAACAATAAATGAAAGAAGAGAGGAAAAAAAGTTACAGCCAACATAAGCATTCATGCTTGTGGGAAATCCTGGCCCTTTGGAGGGATTGACAGCATTATGAGTTTGAGGCCTGTGTAAGGAGTCACTCCCAATCCATACGCCTACTGCTTCACAGACACACACACATACACACTTGCTCCCTAGACTCTTTGATTTGAGTTAAGCATCCCTGCTGCCACTCCTGCCACTCCCCATTAATAGACCTACTGTGATAGTCATCATAGACAAATACTACTTTATAAGCAGACTTAAAGGAAAAATGGTGAGGCATGTATGAGAGACAACACAGCCAGACGAAAAATAATTGTTTCAGAGAATAGTAGATTACAGTTCAAAATAGTATTTTTAGATTTAAAGCAAAGTAGGTACTTACAGAGTATTGAAAGTCACTGATACAACATCTTAAGTATGGGTTTAGTATGTAAAGCAAAGCACTCAAGGGGAAGAGGCTTGGAACTAGAGTCCTATGATTGGAACACTAGGGCTAGAGGAGGCATTGAGAGGACAGTATACAGCATACATTTCTTAAGTGAAAGCCATGGTAGTTCTGCTTAAGCAGACACTTGGATATGTAGAGTAACAATGACAGACAACTAGAACTGAACAGGTGCCTTAAGATGTTCCCATCCTGCCCGTCCAGCACCTGTCAAAAAAGAAACAGCTCTCATATGGCAGATAAGGTTTCTTCTGAAGCTAAATATAAGTGATCATGGCCCCACGTGATGGCTAAGCTTGTTTATCAACTTGACTGGGTCTAGAATCAACCAAAACAAACTTCTTGGCACTCTTGTTTTCTTAATGTTTAATTAAGAGTTTTCTTGGATTATTTGAAAATGAAAGACCCACCCTAAATCTGGGTAGTACCTTCTGGTAAAAGGACTTGGAAGTGGGAAACTGCTTTTTGTCTGCTTATCCTGACACTTGCTGGCAAGTTCATCTACCCTGATGCTGCAGCATCCCTTCAGTGATACTAGAACCAACATCTTTAGGATTTCAACATAGACTGAAGACCACTGGCTCTCCCTCTCTAGGAATCCTCCAGGCTTTCAGTGCCAGATTGGGACTATGGAGACATCCAGCCTCATGAACTGAGCTTACTCACAAACAAAATTAAACTATAAAGCCACAAGGTAGCCAAACTGAAAAAAAATCCAAAAATTCACACAACCCATCTTTAAAACCTAAAACACCATTGGGGTATTAAGAGGAATCCAAATGGTTGCAGAAAATAACAAGCAAACCAAAGTATTAGAAATGTTTACACAGTAATACAGAAGCAGAGATGATGAACGAACAGTCCTGACTTAGTGACCTAATGAAAGAGACTCAAAGTGAATAGATTTAGATTCAAGAGCTGAACACAAACTTGCATTTTAATTGGTAGATTCGGCCTCTTACAACAATATTTGTTAGTGATTCTGAAACTACCATGCACCCAAGTAAATACACTAGGAAACTTGGGTGTAGTCTCCTCAGGCCACACAAAGTACAAGTGACAAACACAGTACATTGCAATGATCCTATGGTTCTGGGTTACAGTGGGCAGAACCAGTATGATTCAGTGGCTATGTCAGTATGTCTGTACAGAGTCAGACAGGCTGCTAGATTTATCTTCATCAGGTTCATCAGGAAACAGGTTCTAGGGGAAATAGTTAATTCTAGGTCTAGGAAAGAAAATGTAAAATGAACCTTGAGTATTTTCCAGTGTCATGAAAATAATGGGGCTGTAATTCATTGGATAGAATGTCTCCCTGTTTCATTGCATGCACAATGTCCTCAATTAGGTTTTCAGCACAGCATAAAACCCTAATGGTAATTCATGCTCATAATCTCGTACCCAGGAGATTGAAAAATAACTTCCTGGGTAGGAACAAGAGAAGATGTTCTGGAGCAAAGGGGGTCTCTTCAACCACCATGGCCAACAGAATAATAATTGGTGAGAGGCAAGAAAGTAATTCATTTCAACATGACTTAGTAGGTGGTGTTCATTCAAACTTCAGGACACTGACCCTGAGTAGTTTATATTAAGCACATTTAAGCACAGCACAATTTGGTGAAAACTTTTCTGATGATAATTAACTCAGTCCCATGTGCACAATAAACCTTAAGATATGACTACATTGAAACCCTTTGTAAATGTGCCATTTTCCATAAAGATGGGTTCTATAGATTGGCTGTAGGTGACACCTTCCGTATAGATTCTATAGGTTGACAAGCTCAGAATAAGAGTCTGGGGATAGGACCCAGGCTACTGAGCACATCTACTCCCAGCCTTCTGGGCAGATTACAGGTTATGAATCGTTTTCTTTGAAGGTACGGCACTGTATTTAACATTCCTGGTTCCCTTAGTGCTTCTCTCCAAGTACAAAGACCTCTGTGCAGGGAGAGGACAAGACCAGGTTGCAGAAACACATAGAGACAGCTGATCTGAACAAGGAGGAGCTAATGGGCCCCCAGACTGATAGCTGGGAATCTAGCATGGAACTGAATATGGGTCTCAGCCAGAAGGACTGAGCTGTCTAAGGGACCTCAGACAGTGGAACCAGGATGTATTCCTGGTGCACAAAAGGACCTTGCGGACACATCCCCCATGGAGGGATACTCCCTTAACCTAGAGACAGGAGAGAAGTCCTAGTCCCTACTTCAAATGACTTGACAGAGTTACATGATTCCACCTGGATGGCATTGCCCTACATGTGGAATTGGGGTGGGGAGATGGGAGGGGAGGGTAGTCAGGGTGCATGTGAGCAGGGAGAGAGGATAAAAGGGAAGGAGGGAGGGAGAGGGAACTGGGATCCACATGTAAAATAAAAATAAAAAACAAGGACCTCTGTGCCTCCCATACTGGAAAAGTATAAAATATTAAAACAGATGAAAAATATATGGATATATGGATGTATTTCTTTAAGGTGTACATTTAAGGAGCTGGAAAGATTGTTCCATGGTTAAGAGCACTTACTGCTCTTCCTGAGAACTCATAGCAGTTCTCAGAACACACATGGTGGCTAAAAAACTGTAATAGTCCAATTCCAGGGGGTGTAACACCCTTTTCTGGCCTCTGAAGGCACCAGACATGTACTGGTGCACAGACATGCATGCAGACAAAACACACAAACATGATTTAAAAAAAAAAAATGAAGTGTACATTTAATTGTAGCTTCATAAGCCAGGAGCGGTGGCACACACTTTCAATTCCCACATTTGGGAGACAGAGGCAGGTGGATCTCTGTGAGTTTGAAGCCATTCTGGTCTATACAGGGAGTACCAGGACATCCAGAGCTAGAGAGCCTGTCTTAACAAAGAAAAGGAAGAAAGAAAGGAAAGAAGGAGGGAAGAAGACAGGGTGGGGGGAGAGAGGGAGGAAGGAAGAAGTGTTTCAGTGGCTAAGAGCACTCACCACTCTTGCAGAGGATCCAGGTTTGGTTCCCACATTCAGTGCCTCACAATTGCCTGTAGCTCCAGTTCTAAGGGATCCAGTGCCCTCCTATGGGCACTACATGCAAGTGGTGCACACAGAGGCAAGCAGACACACACACTCATAAATTTAAATGGAAGAATGTTTGGTGCTGCAGAGATGGCTTGGCAGTTAAGAGCACTGCTGTTCTTCCAGAGGACCTGAGTTCAATTCCCAGCACCCACACTGAGTTCCTCACAACAGCCTATAATTTATAACTCCAGCTCTCAGGGCAGGGGGAGACTCAAATGGAGGCTTCCAGCCTCCTTAAGTACCCCTATACACATACACACACATATAATTATTAAAACAATTTTTAAAATCTAGATTTCAATGTATGCACATCTGATTTTACAAACAAAGGAACTAAAAATAAGCATGTTTGGGTTAATGAGTAGGTAATGGGTTAAAGCAATGAAGAAAGTTTAAAAGTGCCTAATAAGTCATTGTTGAAGCTGTGAAAAGTCTATTATATTGTTCAGTTTTGTGTGTATATTTACATATGTATGCATATTTTTCTATAATAAAATATTTATTTTATAATAAATAAAATTAAGCCAAGTGTAGTGGCAAATGTCTATAATGCTGGCACATGGCACAGCCTGTCAATCCTGTGGCGGTTGGAAGATCAGTTCAATGTTACCTTCATATGGTATATTTACATGCATTCAGGCAAAACACTTACACACCTACAATAAAAATAAATTGGTCTTAAAAACAACAACAACAAAAATCTTGGATACCTTTTGGAATAGGTAAGGCAAAAGTTATTGAGAACATGAAAGAGGCTAATTAATTTTTTACTGTTACACAAGTGTATTCATTATATAGTAATTCATTGAGCTTTTCACATTTATTTTTGTTTGCATGCTATACATTAATGAAAATTTCAATATTATGTAGTGTCACAAAGATTTCATGGCAATGCAGAAGAGGGTGTTTGGGTGCCCTGGGAGTTACAGAAGGTTATGAGTTTCCTGGTATGGGTGCTAGGAATAAACTCAGGTTCTCTGCTCTCATGTACAAGCACACTCTTTACCAATGACACATCTCTCCAACCCAACTCTGCATTTTTATGATACAGCTTTTCCTTACAGTGTTCCAATACCTTGATTCTCACCAGGCTCACAGTTAGAACACTGTCCTTCACACAGCAGGGTACTTGTGGAACTGGGTTCCATCAGGAGCAAAATCAGTAGGAAAGGCTTTAACCAAGAGTGTATTCCTAGGAAGTCACTGTGATTCTCCTTCAGCTCCCCAGGCATTGTTCTCTATCTAGTGAGATCAAATAAATATTGCATGAGCACAGGGCATAGTTATTACAGAATAAGATGAAACATTGTCAAGGGGGAGAGAAAGCAATGGCCAAAGACTGCATTGGGAAATAGGCTTTTACACCACACACTGACGTTTCTGGGACATGTCTTTGATGTCTTATTTATTTACTTTCGAGACAAGGTATGTATCTTGGCTGCATTGGAATTCTTTGTATAAACCAAGCTGGCCTGGAACTCACAGAAATCTCCCTGCCTCCACCTCTCCAGGGCTTGAATTAAAGGTGTTGGCCACCACACCCAGTCTGTGTGTTTGGTTTGATAAACTTTGAGACAGTTTAAAATACCACACTTCTACCCAGAACCAGAGGTATGGCTCAGGTCCTCTACTTCCTTTTGTTGTTGTTGTTTGTTTGTCTTTAAGTGAAAATTTTTAAAGAAAGTTATGATGCAATATAGGAAACAGCCTTCCCTTAAGGGGCCTCAACAAGCAACTATTCCATCTTTCACGAAGAATTTTACATTTTGAGAGGGGCAATTGCATCCATGCTTCCCCCTTCTGATGGTGGTGGTTTGAAATCATAGGGCAGTTGTACTATTTTGGTTTTAAGGTGTGTCCCTACACAGACCTGATAACACCTGTCTAGCTATCTAACTACATAATAATTAGTTTATTTTATGTGTGTTAGTGTTTTGCCTGTAGGTTTGTGCACATGTGTGCACTGCCCATAAAGTCCAGAGAGAATTCTAGATTCCCGGGGCTGGTTGTGAGCCGCCTTGTAGGTGCTGGAAGTTTGAACCCGAATCCTCTGGGAAGAGCAACCAGTGCTCTTAACCACTGAGCCAAGCCTCTAGCTCCACAAGAATTGTATTTATTTATTTGTTTGTTTATTTATTTTTGGTGGCGGGGGGACTATGACATAGGATTTCTCTATGTAGACCAGGCTGGCCTGAAACTCAGAGATCTGTTCACCTGTCTCCTTGACGCTGAGATTAAAGGTGTGTGCCACCACGCCCACCCAACTGAAGTTTTTGTTTTGTTTTTTGCATAAAGCAGCTGTTGCTGGGTTTACCCTCACAAAGCATTCGCTTTAGAGCTTTGAAGTAATCCGAATGCAGCGATGTCACTAGCGATCCAGAGGCTCAAGAACCAAAGACAGTTTCACACGCTCTGTGATCCGGACGGTCTCCGCGCACTTCCGGTCTGTTTCCGGCGCCGCCATCTTGCTTCCGGTTTCCGCTGGGTAGGTTGTTTCCTCAGTCGTGCGGCAGCCTGGTAGGACATCTACAGGTAGTCAGACGCCTGCCTTCTGGTGAGTGCATCTGATTTCTGCCGGCTGGGGCGGGTGCTGTGCGGTGTACAGACGGTGCCATCCCGGAGCCCAGTGCTCCTAACGTGGCTGAGACGTCCCTTCCCTGGTGCTGCAGGGAGACTTGTCCTCAGCGGTACCCAGTCTCCTCGTGCTCCTGACCACAGTACCACAACTGCTGTCTGGTGTCCAATTGTCTAGCAGTGACAGTCCTGGGGCCTAGAGCATCCTGAGGTGTGGGGTGAGCCTGGGCTGGGCCATCTCCTGTCTCCTCAACTGGAAGGCTCTGTGTTGGCTTCTGTGGAGAGTGCACAGTAATTGCACAGACTTTTACTGAGGAAACGTACACACATGGGCACTTAGGGATGACCAAAGTAGACTCCATCACAGTCCAACTTGGTGATCCAGTGAGTTTATTGGACTGACTTACGTAGCGAGGATGGTTGACTCTCCTTCCAGACCACCAAGGCCCACCCCATTATAGACTGTAACATCATGGAAGCCACCTCATTGAGCCCCATGTTCAGTTACTTTTCCATGTCCTGCATACTTTAGATGGGAAAGGTGCATGCAGATGAAGGTCTGTAGCTCTCCTCCTCTCCTACTTTAGAGTGTAACAGCACCATTTCCACTATTGTAGATCTGTGTTTTTGGTTTATTTCATTCTTATGGCCCCCTGGTCAGTCTCTGCTCCAAGATGGAGATGGGGGAATAATGTTAGCCCAGAGGGGAAAAAAACGAAGCACAACGGCGAACAGTGGAATGGGCTGTTTGGCACAATGTGATTTCAGTTCTTGTGGAAACATGCAAAATTGTGACTCCTGGACCCTATGGTAGTTGTGCTTTGAGTTTCTCGAGAAGACTTGATACTGTTATAAAATTTAGATGTACTAACAGGGCATGGTAACAAAACTGTAACCCTAGCAAGATTGCATGGGAAACCTCATTTGAAAACTATCCTTTTATCACACTGAGGCCCTGCTGGCCAGAGCACATGGAAAGACAAAGCTGAGGGGCATTATGGGAGGAAGCTACACCCAGGCATGGACACCATAGGCAGGCTCTGGTTAAATAGTATTTGAAGGTACTGCCATAAATATGGGTCATGTTCCTTTACAGGTACAGCCCTGAGCCAAAATGTTTAAATTATACAAAGCATGTTGTCTATGAAACTTAAATATGTAAACCAAGAGATGTGGGTGGAATCCTGTGTGGTGCCTCTGCATTGATGCAGTGATTTCTACAATTTCTTCAACTGTATCGCATTCATTAAAACTTTGCAGTACATCTTCACATTATAGTCACTAAGCAGGCAGCAAATACACTAACCTATGGGTAAACTGTAAGTTTAATTTCTAATTAATTGTGTTCCTTTCATTAGATCTGTTGTGTCAGTTCTCAAGTGTAAGAGACTATTTCCACACAGGAGGTTTTTTTTTGTTGTTTTCTAGCTTTTTTCCTCAGCAACTATATAGAGATCTTTGCACATTGGAATTCACAAACAAGGCATGGCAAATGCCTGTTTACTTCTGTTTGTTTTCTTTTCCAGCTGTGATTGCAAGGTACTCCATGTGCCTTAGAGAGCGAGGAAAATGAACACAGTTGTGGTAAGTGGTGTGATTACTCTTGACCTCGTTTTACATTGTGGTTTAAGAGCTTTGTAAGAGCTCCTTAATTAAAATTGGGAAAACAAACATAAGACAAATATATATGTCGGGAGCAGTCTTTGCGGGGCTGCAATTGGAGCCAGCCGAGTGGCCCCAAGTCCGTACCTGAGTCGGGGAGTGTGGGTGAGGGAGAGGCTAGCTATAGATAATAAAGACAGACAAAATAAAGGTCAGGAGGGCAGATCAGTCATTACTGATACCACGAGTTTATTTTTCACCACTTTTATATACCATAACTAAAAAGTGGAACACAGTATCATGTATAAGGAACAGACCTTTCTTTCTCATTCTAAGGGTTCAGTAACCACACCTTATCTCTAACTTCTTCCTATGCCTTGAGGTCAGGAGTAGCCACACTTCAGATTCAGGTCTATTGTTATTTAGACTAAGATGGCTGAAACATCCTTCTGTAGCCACACCTTTGACCTTTAGGTCTTGTGACTTGCTGACAGCTTTGAACTCTCTGTCTTTATGCCAAGATGGAGTGCAGCCATCTTTATGGGCACCCACATATACACAGACACAATAAGATACTAATGTAGATCGAATCATGTTGTAAAGGTTTTAGAGTCATTTAAACTGTGCTGCTGGTTTTTTTCTTTTCTTTTTGGGAGGTGGGGTGAGGTGGGATTCAAGACAGGTTTTCTTTGTGTAGCCTTGGCTGTCCTGGAACTAGCTCTGTTAAGCAGCAGGCTGGCCTCAAACTCAAAGAGATTCACCTGTCTCCCTCCTTAGTATTGGTGATTAAAGGCATACACCATCACCACCTGGCATCACTAGTTTTTCTGATCCTATGCCATTTGTTATAGAGTTTGGATTGACCCCAGGAAGAGAATATGATCAGTTCTCGCGCCCTGTGATGTGTAAACAGGCTTCATAGACACTTGCATAATGATGTGTGTAATGCTTCACTCCCAACCCAGAGCTGAGCACAGCATTCACATCTATCAGGATTCTCTGGTACTCAGATACCTGTTTCCTTAAAATTTTAAATTATAGTCAAATGCTAGCACACTTTTCTACCTGCCTTACTTGAAAATTCTGCTACATTTGAAACTACTGTCAGTAATCTCATGTGGAAATTCTTCCATTTCAAGTTTGGTGTGTGTGTGTGTGTGTGTGTAGATGTGGGCAAATGTGACTGAATGCATTACTGTGCATAGGCATGTGGAGACCCAAGTTGATATTGGATGTCTTCCTTCATCACTCTGTTTTATTATGTGGCAGGGTCTCTCACTGACAAATCCTGACTGTTGTAGCCAGCCAGCTTGCCCTGTTGATCCTTTGTCTCTGCCTCCTAAGTACTGGGGTTACAGGCTGCCACTATACCTGCCTGGCTTTAATGTGGGATCTAGGGGTCAGGACTCCAGTCTTACATAGCAAGCATTTTATCCTCAACTCCCCTTTCAGTTCCTGTCATGACCTGTTGGTACTATTCCTTGTGTTCTGCTTTGTGTCCCTCCCATTCCACTGTAGACTTCAGGGTTGCAGGCCTCTGTGGTTTGACTTTCTTAACTACTTCTCTGTAACTTGTACCTTTCGTCAGCTTTCAGATCATAAGTTTGACTCCTGTGTAGTTATGCAGAGGCACCTCAAGTTTCCCTTGTCAAAATGAAAATCAAATCCTCTATTCTTTCCTTATATAGTATTGATAACAATATACCAAATGTCCTTTATCCTACACTAAAAAGAGGAATTCCTTCCTTCCCTCCTCCCTCCCTCCCTTTTATCTTTACTTTTTCTGGACTTTCTTCTTCCTTCCCTGTCCTTTCCCCCTGAGGTCTAATGTTATGAGTTACAATTTCTGCTGGCTTTGTTGTTCATTCTTGTTCCAGTGGCAGTAAGTGATGCTGTAGATGGTGAGGAAGTGTGGTTACCTAAAGACAAGTATAAACTTTCGTGTTCACACTGGGTCTGTCTCTGCTAGGCTGGAAGGGTCTGTCCTCAGTGGTGATGCCAGAGTGCTGATGAGCTGTACTGCTAGCAAGTGGGTGTGGTGAAGGCCTTGAAGTAAATGGAGAAAACAGAAGTTAGTGGGGTGGGGGAGGGGGAGAGATACCATTTGTGTACAAGTCATGAGAAAGGCACACAGAGCATAAGTTAAAAACGGGAGCACACATCTGAATATTACATATTTTTGCTTTTGTATTTCTATGCCAGTGTTCTTGTTTAGTTGGTAGACTACACAAAGTTGTCAGTTTCCAGCTCAAACCACACATGACTTTTAGTGGAACAACTCACTTCATAGGCAATAATTACATGACATGAGCCCAGGCCCTTATAGTTCGAAGGTTCTGCTCTGGACTCCACCCTCCTGAAGCCTCTACCCTGATGTAGAGAATGGGATTGACGCTATAAAGACACACGATGCAGAGCCAGATAGATTTCTATCCCCACAGTGGTGGAGCTGAGTTCTCCACAAGGCTGTATGTGCATTGACTCAGGGTCAGTACATTGCCTGATATTTTCGTCACGGGTAGAAGCCAGAGTATAGGAGTCAGCAGGTAAAGATGGGCAAAGTGTCATGAACTGTTTCCTTCACTGACCTACACAGTGGGTTCAAGGTCAGCAGCTTGGAAGGAACATGATTGGAAAGTTGAGGCCAGAGACATTTAGGGGACAGGAATGTTGGCATACCTCTGTGAATACTGGAAGTAATGAAGATGTATGTGTGCCCTTATAAACCTCACCAAAAGGGGGTTTTAGCAAAGGACTTACTTAACAAGTAGAGTGCTAGAATTAGGCATACTTTGATTTCTCTTCCAAGTGACCTCACTCTCTGCTGGCCTAGAAGTCTTAGCTACAGAGGGGCAGTGCTTCTACCAGGAGCTACAGACCTAGTTCTGTTGAGCTTGTGGGTTTGTGCAGCCTGGACAGTGTCCCTTTTGACCTGAGATGTACTCAGGAAGGAGGCGGAGTGCTGGGGAAGCTGGTGACCAGACTGTCACGAGGCACCATGAGACCTGGGAGAAGGTCTCTCCTGGCCTTCGGAAACCGGCCACTCCTGAAAAGTTGTAGGTTCTATTCTTTTTCCTGTTTGTGTCACCTGGCAAACACTGCTATTACCATGCAAGCCTGCTAAGCCCTGCTGTCCACGCAACATTCTGTCTTTATATCAGCTTCTTCCTCTACCCTAGACTCAGAATGTTTGCTACAGCTTTATAATTATTTTACTTTTCGGATTTTAAAGGTTTGTTTTATATGTATGAGAGTCAGAGCCCCTGCAATTGAAGTTAGAAATAATTGTAAGTCATCATATGAGCGCTAGGAACTGAATCCAGGTGCTTTGTAAGAGCAACAGGTGCTCCTAACCACTGAGCCATCTCTCCAGCTCTTAAAATTATTTTTAACGTGTGTGTGTGTGTGTGTGTGTGTGTGAGAGAGAGAGAGAGAGAGAGAGAAAGAGAGAGAGAGAGAGAGAGAGAGAGAGAGAGAGAGAGAGAGAGAGAGAGAGAGAGAACAACTTGGGAGAATCAGTTCTTTCACCATGTGGGTTCCAGGAAGCCAACTCATGTTTGGCAGGCGTGGCAGCAAGCTCATTTACCAGTGGAGCCATCTCCAAGTCTTCTTTAGGAAAAGTTCCTAAGAAATAGAATCAGGGGAGTTACAGCCTGGGTGGCAGATGCAGCTATGAGCCTGTTGCTTATTAGCTGCCACTCGTTAATGGTTATGTACAGTTTTGTTTTCCCTTTAAGGGGTGTGGCAGTACTTCCTATGGCATACAGACCTTAGAGTAATGCAGCTGAGCTTCTCTCTGCCCTGTTCTGTGTCATGATACTAAACACTTTATTCTGAAGTGTTAGAAACCTGCCATACTGTGTTTCCCTCCTGTTTGAAATGCTAATAGCTTTTTAAAGAGCCTGAAAGTTAAAGTGTGTTTGCTTCCATGCTCACTATATTCATGGAGATGTCTACCTTTTTTCCTGGGTTTTTGGCAGCTTAGTCATATCTGCCTTTGTGTACTAATTTCTATGCTGTTTCCCGATTTAAATGTTCGGTTTTCCTCGGGGAAATTGTTGGTTACTGCCTACAACTGTTTAGGTCCTCCAGCTCATCTACCGGTGTCGTAGTACCTAGAAAAAAATGGAGAATTCAGAGATGTCATTGTACTCATAGTTACAATCTATGCCTGGGAAAGGATTCACTATAGTCAACAGGAGACCAGGAGCACAGAGTGAAGTCCAAGAGACTCACCTTACTGTGGAAACTCCTGGCTGTCTTCTGTCCGTCGAGGCCTGTGTCATTAGCTCTTTGTTCAGACAACAGTGGATAACCACAGCCAGGTAGCAAGCAGTGACTCTCCTCCTATCCACTATTTTTAATATTTCTTGGAGTTCAACCATATACATGTCACTGACTACCATTGACTCCTTAGTCTCCTGCGTGTCAAGTATCAGGTCAAGCTGATAGCACACGATCCAAGCCTGTCCCTACAAATGCCTGCCACCGTAAGCATAGAGACCATACACAAGGCCCAAAGGCTTATGGAAGTAGAGATTCATGCTAGAACTGAGCCCTGAACTCCCAGGATCTATGCTGAGGACGCAGTCTCTCTTCAGGAAACATCGATCCTCTGCTACATACATAGCTTGTGATCTGTGGACTGAGATTTATAGGTTTGGAGGTTTGTGTATTATGTGATATGTATAAAATATTTACCTTTGGCTTTGTGGGTTATTTGTTCTGACCTTACATAACAGTAAATTCTTTAGTCACATATGTTTTTCACCACCTGTATTTCCCTACTTATCACTGAGTTTCCAATATTTTCAGTTGAGAGTTCAGTTTTTAAGTCTTTTTGTGTGCATTATGTTTATGTGTGTGTGTTCACACATATGTGTATGGATTTGTATGTCTGGATGTGAGTATATTCAAGTGTTTGAACACCGTGGCATATATGTGAAGGTCAGAGAACAACCTCAGGGCTTGGCCCTCTACTTCCTTCTTTTTAAGGCAGGGTCTCTTTGTTGTTTGCCATCATATGTATCGGGCTAACTAGCTGTTTCACTCAGTTTGGTGAAGTTAGCTACCACTGAAATTTCTATTCCTTTGTGTTCCTTGTAAAAAATATGTTGTAAGATCTTGTTTGTCTAATTGCCTGTTAGGCATCTGTGCATTTGATGGGGGAAAAAACGTTAGACTAGTATGTATAAGATCAGTTGTAATTCCTGCCCATCATAGTGATTGTCATTTATCCCTATGTAGACCAGACTTGCTGCAAATTCAGAGATCCTCCTGCTTCTGCCTCTTAAGTGCTTGGATTAAAGGTGTGCATCACCACACCTGGCCAGTTTATCTTTTTTTTTTTTTTTTCTGGAGCTGAGGACCGAACCCAGGGCCTTGCGCTTGCTAGGCAAGCACTCTACCACTGAGCTAAATCCCTAACCCCCAGTTAACCCTTCTTTATAGGACACTGGTGATGTACTTCTTTGGGATACTACCAGCTCTTTCTGGTTTTAGGAAGGCCACATAAGACTGCCTAGAAAAACTAATGTGTAACTATGTTATGAATGACATTTTTGAAGTTGGGAATGTGTTTAAATGGAAAGCCAAAAGAATATCCACTGTGGCTACACGTTTACTCCCTCAGTTACTCATCACCAAGCTAGTGAGAAGGCAAGGCACTTTGTAGGTTTTTGTTCTTCTTCTTCCTTAATAAAGAACACCTATCATGGAAAAGATGCTTGTGAAGAGGCATAACCTCTTGTGTTTCTCTCTCTGACCCAAGGCTGAAGGCAACTTGGGCTGAGGAAAATTGTTTCATTACAGGGGTTGGTGACATTTGAGGATGTCTCTGTGGACTTCACCTGGGAGGAGTGGCAGGACCTAGATGATACTCAGAGGAATCTCTACAGGGATGTGATGCTGGAGACCTACAGCAGCCTGCTGTCCTTGAGTGAGTAGAAGGCTATAGTAATCCTATTAGAAGCACATTCCTTTTTCATAAATACAGGAGCCACTTCAAAGGATGCTGGTTGTTGATTTTGATTGTTTTGTTTTGTTTTTCCTATGCTAGTGGCAAAACCTAGCACATGCTAGGCAAGCACCCTACCATCTTGCTTTCTACACAGTAACTGTACATATTTATAATGAAAGTTGTCATTTCAATACTTGTATACTCTACATAATGATCAGTATTTTATAAGTCTATAAACTTAGATTTATCATGTCTTTCCATTAAGAACTTTTAAAACCCTCCTCCTTTTTTGTTCTCTACTGTGTATGAATATTTTGTATGATTGCGTCTTTGTATGCCTGGTGCCCAATGAGATCAGAAGATGATGTTGGATCCTCTGGAACTGGAATTATGGATAGTTGTGAACTGCTACCTGAGTGATAGGAAGCAAATCCAAGTCCTCTGCAAAAAAGCAAATGCTGTTACCCACTGAGCCATTTCTCAAACCCCTAAGGCTCTCCCTTTTACTTTCAAGTAATTGTTGCCAGCTGTATTTACCTTTTGTGTGCTATAGAGCAGTGGAGTCATGTGTCCCTGTTCCCCTGCATCTATGAACCACCTTCTCTCCTTCTCTCCTCCCCACACACCATTCCTAGGCTCTGGTAGCCAGATGTTTTTTCTTTGTTTCAGGTTAACATTAGCTTCCTGCCATAGATATAAATGTGCAATGTTTCTTTTAGCTTGATTTCCCTTGATTAATACAAGTATCTTTCAATTATATCCATGGTCCCTTGAGAGAAAATTCAGAGCTGTGTCCATAGCTAGATGAGGTCATCATCCCCTCTATATTTAGCACATTTTCTTATCAATTCATTTGAGGGTGGACACTAAAGTAGATGCCATATCATCTCTTCTGTATAAGATGCTGCAGTAACTGCATGCACAGAGAGTTAAAAAAAACCTAGGTGGATTTCCTCTGGATTGTGTTTTGTGGCAACTCACTTTCCAGGACCGTGTTATTTTTCACAGTGCCTGTTAATTACATTTCTAGCAACACAGACTTCCTTTTCTGTGTGTCCTCACCAGCATTTGTAATGTTATATATTGCTAATCATTGTAGTTATGTTACAGTGAGATCCCATTGCTGTTTGATTTGCATTTCTGTGATAGTTTGGGATATTCACATCCTTGTGTCTTTGGAGAAATATTTGTTGTGGTCATTTGCCCAGATTTCATCAGATTACTCACTTTTATGCCAGTGCATTGTATAAATTGTGTGAGGCAGTCCGTCATCAGATAATAATTGGTAATGTTTTCTCTTTCTCTGTTTTCTTTTAACTCTCAGTTGTTAGCTTTTTAGAACCGAAGTTTTAAAATTTAATACAATCCTGTTTTTACTTTAATTTTTTTTTTCTTGTATGTGTATGGGTTTGTAGATGTGAGTGCAGGAGCTGTGGAGGCTGGAAGAGGGCTTCTTCCCTGGGCCTAGAGGCACGGGCAATTGTAAGCCTCCTTACATGGGTGCTGGGAACTGAACTCAGTTCTTCTGCAAACTCAGTATGTGCTTTTAACCACTGAGCCATCTCTCCAGCCCCAACAATTCTGGTTTTCAGTGCTGATATTATCAACTGTGCTTTTGGTGTTGTATTTTAACAGTTCACCTTTGCCAAGATTTGTATCCTTTTGTGTTTTCAAGTTATTGTTTTTTTATGATTTTTCAAGTCTACATTGAAATCCCATTTTTACTTCCGTGTATGTTAAGAGGCAGGTTTAACACCTTTCTCCATCACAAGGTTATCCAGCTTCACAGACACTGAGATCTTCCTTCTAAACATTTGTTTCTGTTTCCTTATGTGAGGATTGCTTGACTGTGAATCTGTATATTTGCTTTTAGTTTTCTGTTACTTTGTTCTATTCTCTGTGCAAGCTGTTTAGCAACTGTCTCTTCCGATTATGTTTTGATGTTAGGGGTTTTTTGTTTTGTTGTTTTGTTTGTCTGTTTTATTCTTTTTGTTTGTTCGGTTTTTGTTTTGTTTTTGGAGACAAGGCTTCTGTGTAGCCTTGGCTGTCCTGGAACTTGCTCTGTAGACCAGGTCAATCTTGAACCCAGAAATGCACCTGCCTCTGCCTCCCAAGTATTAAAGGCATGTACTACCACATCCAACTTTTTATTCCTTTAATAAAAACTTATAACTTCCAGAATGTCATTGGTATTGATTACCTTGTACATGTGAATCACTTATGTAGTAGTAACACAGATGTGGTGAATCGAACTTTCCTTGTGGTCCTGGGCAGGTGTTAAGCATCACGGACTCTTTGTAAGCACTGTTTATGTTAATGATAAGGTCTTTAAGTTACTGTGAGCACTCCTTTGAACGTCTTGTAAAGAAGGAAAGATTTTAAGAATCGGGCAGACTGACTTGCTGCCCTGGGTGCCTTGAGCAAACGGAATCCCAGCTGCCAGCTGCTTTAAAACAGTCCCAGGGCATTTTGAGGAAACTACAGCTGTTTGTTCTCACTCCTGAAGATGCAGAACAGGCTAGCACATTCCCAAAGTTTCTAACTGACTTTTACTCTCCTGGGTTTTGGTGAATTCTGGGTGATTCTGCAGTCATGTCCTTGTAGGGGTCAGGAAGGGAATATGTCCCTTATAGCCTGACAGAGAGATGGTTGTGACTGATGTAAAGTAAGTGATGCTTTGACTGATGCAGACAATCCTCATTTACATGTGTTTGTGTATGAAGCCCCCTCTCTGGCTATAGACATGGACTGTTTAGCTCACTTGGAGATGCCCTTCTGTGCTGTGTCCCTGGTGTTCCAAAAAAAGGCTTCTCTCCAGTCGGCTCTTCTTACTTGATTCTAGTGGAGTAAGCAGATCTGCTGATACCAAGAATAGAGTAGCAGAGAACAGAATCCAAGTACCAAAAGATGATTTCTCCTTTAAAAATTAACTCTCGTTGCTCCATTGCTGTTTTGTTTTATTAAATTCTTATACATTCTTTTTCTCCTTATCTCCCGCTTTCTTCTGCTTTCTGTGTTGGTTTTTAGAGGGGCATGGGAGGAGGGGGTTTCAGAGATCACTGCTTTGGAACATCTTCTGATCTTGCCAACTCTTGTAGTAGCATCTGGCTGAGGAGCTTTAGATTTTTGTTAATTCGATGCATTTAAAATTTTTTACTTGCTGTCCCCCCCTCCCCCGATCCAGGTGGTGAGTCAAAATAATCCTTTTATTCTATATGTATTTCTTTTATTTTAATGTCCTTAGTGTTAGTGTTCTCCTAGAGTGTACATATTGGTCCTATCTTTCCTGAGAGTCTGATGCCAGTATTTTATCATTGGAGTACAACTTACACAATATTTCCTTTTAATAGACCAGTGTGATGCCAAACCTGAGTTGATCCTGAAGTTGGAGCAAGGAACTGGGCCATGGAAGGAAGAAGTTGTCCCAGACCAAAGGCTCCCAGGTCAGTGAATGCGCCAAGGCAGGCAAGTCCAGACTAGTGAATACTCATGAGATGGGAAGTGTGTGAATTTCTTTTCACTCAATTTTGCCATCTTCCATTTTGAAACTAACTTCTTAATAAGCTGCTTGCTGCATTGTGTCCAAGGGAGGCCTCATTCCCAAAGGGACCCTCCTTTCCTTTTTTTTCTCTGTATTTTTGTAGGTCTAGCAAATCCTGCTCACTCTGTTTAAACATATCTTTAAGTGGTTACTCTAAATCCCATTGTCCTTTTCCCCTATTTTTATCTGATGCTTCATTTTAAGCATCTATTCATTGGTTTATTGATGCATTCATCACTTTTTATTTGATTCCTCATAGACAGTGGTCTACTACATGGGACCAACAGTGGTGATCCAACAGATTTGCTGTTTAAAGAGCTTCCGCTGTGTTGAGGCACAGAAATCTTTGGCATTGAAAGAAAGACCACAAGAATATGTTTTCTTAGCTGGCTAAATGAGTGAAAAAATACAGGCTGTTTCTAAGGAAAAGCAGCTTTAAGGAGATTGTTTTAAAATTAATGTCAGATTAATTCTGAAACTGACAAATTTGGTACAAGTTCATAAGTTGATAGGAACGTTAGTCTTCAGAGTAGTTATGATTTCACTACAGGTTCTAAAGTGGTATTAGTAGTTCTAAGTTAATATTGAAAACATAAGTTTCAGGCATTCACCTGTAGAATTCAAATATGAGAAAAGATGTCCAAAATCAAATAGTGTATACCAAGATACCAGAATTTATGTGATTCAAGGAGCATCTGCAAAGAGTCCTGGTAGAGTAGCCCTAGGGTGTGGCACATCATCCAGGAGATCTTGGGTATGGAGACCAGATGAGCCAAGGCTCTGTTGAAAGGCTCCTATTTGATGTGGAAATTGTAATATCTAGTTAGCCCTCGACCTTTTTCATTGTGAAACTCACTCTAAGTCAACAGATTTGTGCAGCATTTGCTATGAAATTTTACCCCAGTGGAAGCTGTGCAAGAGCAGCAAGTGCTCTTAGCCTCTGAGCCATCTCTCCAGGCCTGTTGTGTAATATTACATCATGGGGTGCAGTGGGGGGAGAGGGGGAGACTTCTTCACTTTTGTGTTAGAATTCTATCAGAATGACTTCTGTGTTGTTCATAGAGGGCAACTTTCATTTCCTTTCAGCTATGGAGAATGTGAAGAGCCTGAACAATACCAGTTGGGACAATCAAAAGAGACATTTGAACCACGTGGTAATCACTGGCAACTCATCAACTGAGGAGAGGGTCAAATTTGGGAAAATAATTAATATGAGTTCAAACCATGTTTTACACCTGGCTATTAAGAATAGGAACTCTTCTGAAATGAGATCTGAGGTGCTTGATATATGGGAAAGTGTGTATCTCCCTGGTGAGCACAGTCAGATGCAGCCTATAGAGGAACTTGATCATCTTACTGCAACTAGGATGTCATGTGGACCTCCTGAGCCTCTTAGTCTGGATCACGGTGTTGAAAGTGGGCAACAGCACTTTCAGTATAGTCACTGTGATGAAGCCTTCAGCGTGAACACTATATGGACACATAAGGTGTTTCCTCTAGAAGATAATTCAAGTAAGTTAAAGGAATGTAAGTTGGCTCTTAGTGCCCATGAGGGAACTCACATAAGGGAAGAAACTTTTGATGGCAACTTGTGTGAGAAATCATTCTCTGACAAGTGTAACCATACTCAGCATTTGAAAACATGCATGAGGCACCAATGTGATAAATGTACTGATTGTGAACCAGCATTCAATACAAAACCAGGCCTTATAAATCTTCAGAGCACTCTGCGTGCATGGGAAAAGCCCTGTGTGTGCAATGACAGTGAGAAATGTGTGTGTCAGATGCCAAAACAGAGTGTTAATCAGAGTGTCTTCTCAAGTAAAGAGAATGTGAAAATAATCAGTGTGCACCAGAGACCTCACACAGGTAGAAAACCCCATGAATGCAATACATCTGCAAAAATCAACAAGCAACCTCGTAGACGGCACAGATCTGGGAAAACCTACCAGTGCAAGGTATGTGGAAAAGCCTTTAAACACACACAAAATCTCTACTTACACTACAGAACTCACACTGGTGAGAAGCCATATGAGTGTAAAGAGTGTAAAAAACTGTTCAGTGTGAAGTCCAATCTCAGTGTACATCAGAAAACTCACACAGGCGAAAAACCCTACGAATGTAACATATGTGGAAATGCCTTTAAAAGAAGGTGTGACCTAACTATCCATCAGAGAGTTCACACAGGTGAGAAGCCCTACGAGTGTAAAGAATGCAGGAAAACATTCAGTATAAAGTCAGGGCTCATTGTACATCAGAGAATTCACACAGGTGAGAAACCATACGAATGTAGTGTATGTGGAAAACGTTTTAACCAGAAGTCAAATCTCTCTACACATGAGAAAATTCACACAGGTGAGAAACCCTTTGAATGTAAAGAATGTAGGAAATCATTTAGTGTCAAGTCGTATCTCACTATACATCAAAAAACTCACTTGAGTGAGAAAGCTCATGCATGAAATCTGAGGAAGCCTTCTATCAGAAGACAAACCTCCACAGACATCTTACAGAAACCTATGGAGCATAAAGAATGCAGGAAAAGTTTAAGTCACTTGTCATCTCTCCCTCAGCCTCAGGTGGAGATTCCTGTGGATGTAAAGGTTGAAGAGAATCTGTCAGCTATGAGTCAAATCTCATCAATTAGTGTACCCAAAACATGAGAGACCTACCAGTGTGAGGTATGTTCAGAGACTTCTGCCAAATGTCATACTTTAGTTGTTAGAGAACTCTTACAGGTTAGAAACCCTCTGGCTGTAAGGTCTGGAAAGAGTCAGTCCTCATAAGACTGGAGAATTCATAATGATGAGAAACCCTGTGAGTGTAGTTACATGTGCAAAGCCCTTTAATGGGAAGTCCCATCTCTGAATTTGAGTTCACACAGGTAAGAAGGCCTGTGAATATAAAGAATGTAGGAAAGCATTTCAGACATTTGTCACCTCTCCATGTGGATCACAGAATTTAGAGTTGACGATGCTTATCGGTGCATTCTATAGAATGGTCACCCACCACATGTCAAACCTATATACACATTAGAGAAACCTCACAGTTAAGAGGCTTTCTGAATGTAAGGACTAAGAAACATTTCCAACAAATGTATACTGGAATACTTGAAAATGGAAAGGGGAGGAGGTCTCATTAGCAGATACAACTCACTGCACATAAAACACACACAGCTGAGTAACTGAATGCAGTGTATGTGAAGAAACCTGTCCCCAGATGTCAAGTCTCAGCAGTCACTAGGTGAGGAGCCCTCTGAATGTGAGTCATCCTTCACTGCATACCAAAGAAGACATGTAGGATAAGCCATATCAATTTAATATGTGTAAAAACTTAGTTCTATAAGATGGATATCTGCCTCCACTAGAGATCCACACAAACACAAAACCCTGCAAATATAAAAACTGAAGGAAAAAACAAAACTCAATTTAAAGATTGTAGAAAATATCTCTTATTCTTGAGGTATGTGTAAGAATTGACGTAGGTTACATGCTTTATTGGAGAGAGCCGAGACTTTATATGTGTTTATAAATCTCTTGTTTGTATGAGTGATATAACCTTTTTGCAACATAATGCAAAGTCGTTGTGACCCATTTTAAAAGTGTTTCAGACAGGGGACCTTTCATGTTAGAAAGTTTACCCAGGAGAAGGCCCTTCTTGTCACCTTTGTATTTTCAAGCCATTTTGTGGAGAAAAAGAAACATGAAATTTCAATAAATTTAAATGCCTTACCTGGTACCAGCATTTCATTAAAGGTATACTAAAGTATATTTCATATGTGAAATGTGTATATCCATAAAACATTGAAATTCATATGTATCAGAAATCATAAAATGAAATTGTCAATTTCTAAGATGTGTTAATTACACTATTAAAATTATTTTTGAGCTAGGTGTGGTAGCACATGTCTTAAATTCCAGAACCCAGGAGACAGAAGCAGATATCTATGAGTTTGAGGCCAGCCTGATCCACAGAGAGTTCCAGGTCAACAGGGTTGCATAATGAGACCCTGTCTCAAAAGAAAAAAAAAAGATTGTTGAATATGCCAGATGATATTTATGATGGTGCCTGATGCAGTGGTTTGGTCTATATTTGAGGACATTTGTGTTGGTCACAACCAAAGTTTGAGAGATTCGACTGACACTAGTGGATACCAGGGATGCAGCTGAATTCCCTGAGGCCTCTGTTGTCATTTTCCTGAGGTGTGAACAGAGATATGTACTCAGCCTAGATAGGGCACTGGCAACAGACCAAATAAATATTTCTGCCAAACTCCACACTGGGGAATCCATTGAGTTCCTTGAGGTTACAAGAGTATGAGTGAGAGGTTGCCTAGCAAGAACAGGAATGATTCCACAACTGTATCACTGAAAAGCCCACCCCAGCATGGGGATGACTTGTGAAAACTGAAACACTTGCAGGAAACAAATTAGGCCACATATACATCAGGTCAGAAAGTCTCCTCCCTCACCAGCAGCCCTTCTGTCTTTATAAACTTGGGAAGGGCCCAGCTAGATCCACCTATAGGTGCAGAAATATCCTAAATCTCAGCCTAGTCCTATCGACAGGCCTCTGTTAGAGGTGAGTCTGAGACTAATTCAGTGGAATGCCCCCCCACACCCTTCCCTGGGAACTCCCTGGATTGGCCCTGGATCTCCTTCCCACTGTGTCCTGTCCCATTGAGAGTACTTCTGGTGCTCTGATACACACCCACCAAGAGCCTGCCCTCCCCCTACCCTGCCCACTGGCCCACCACTCTGGTTGAGCACTGGGACAGAGGGTGGAGCCAACTACCCTGCCACTGTCAGGGAACTTCCTGGAGCTGTTCTGAGCACCTGCCTATCTACGTGGGACCACCCGAAGCCCCCACCTGTCTGGCCTCAGACCCCCACTGCCTTACAACAAAAAGAAGCAAACTCACCCCCAAGGGGTAGATGCCAGGAAATAATCAATTTGAGGGCTAAAAATCAATAAAATAGAAACCAGGAAAACAATACAAAAAATCAATGCAACAAAGAGTTGGTTTTTCGAGAAAATCAACAAGATAGACAAACCTTTATCCAAACTAATGAAAAAGCAAAGACAGAACATGCAAATTAACAAACTCAGAAACTAAAAGGGGGACATAACAACAGACACAGAGGAAATCCAGACAATTTTCAGGTCATACTTTGAAAACCTGTACTCCACAAAATTTGAAAATTCAAAGGAAATGGGCAAATTTCTGGATAACTATCACCAAAATTAAATCAAGAACAGACAACTTAAATAGACCTATATATAATCCCTAACGAAATAGAAGCAGCCACCGAAAGCCTTCCAACCAAAAAAAGCCCAGGGCCAGATGGCTTCAGTGCAGAATTCTACCAAAAATTCAAGGAAGAATTTATACCAACTCCTCAAATTGTTCCAGAAGGTTCATTTCCAAACTCTTTTTACAAGGCCACAATCACCTTGGATAACAGGGATATACCTAAACATAATAAGAGCAATATACAGTAAACCAACAACCAACATCAAACTCAATGGAGAGAAGCTTAAGGCGATTCCTCTAAAATCAGGAACAAGACAAGGCTGCCCTCTCTCCATATCTCTTCAATATTGTACTTGAAGTTCTAGCTAAAGCAATAAGACAACAAAAGGAGATCAAGGGGATCCAAATTGGAAAGGAAGAAGTCAAACTTTCTCTATTTGCAGATGATATGATAGTTTGTTGGGAGCCGGCCTTGAGTCACATCCTCTTGCAATTACTTACACCTTAAAACTCTAACTGAGCCTTATCTTGGTAAAACAGAAAACTGCTAAACAAGCAGTCTGTTCCACTCAACCCAGGAACTGAGATGAACCAGACGCCAGGAATTGAGATAAGCAGACCTTTATGGTCTGATGTTTATGGCCTGGGACATTACCAGAGCCCCAGAGTCAGCACAGCTCCCCCTCCCCATTTCCTCCCCGCTTTGCTTTAAAAACCCCTCTTTGTGCCTAATTAAGTTAGACCTTGACAAAGATTGCTTGGTCTCGTTTGATGGGAGATGTCATTCTGTATGTTTCTCATACTGGTTTAATGAATAAAGCACTGTTGGCCAATAGGAAAGCAAGATAGGCGGGACTAGGAGACAAGGAGGAAAGAGGAAGTAGGAAGGAGGAGCCAAAATGGAGAGTCTGGAGAAAGCAGTATGCCGGCTGGCTCCCCGGTAAGAGAAATACATAGATCAGCAGATATGGGTTAATAATTAAGACAGAGCTAGCCGATAAGAAACTAGTAACGGGCCAACAGAATTATATCAAATACAGAGTCTCAGTGTGTTATTTGGGGCTGGTGCAATGGTGGGACAAGACCAGCTGCGGCAGGCAGAAAAACCATACTCCTTACACTCGTTCCTTCTTTCTCTCCCATTATTTTCAGGTTCTAGCCCACCTCGACCCACGAATAACTAGGCCCTGCTGGTCGGGGCAATAGTTTACATAAGCAACCCAAAAAACTCTACCAGGGAACTCCTACAGCTGATAAACACCTTCAGCAAACTATCTGGATACAAGATAAACTCAAAAAAGTCAGTAGCACTACTTTATTCAGGTGACAAAGGGGCTGAGAAAGAAGTCAGAGAAACATCACCCTTTACAATAGCCACAAACAACATAAAGTATCTTGGGGTAACACCAAACAAGTGAAAGACCTATATAATAAGAACTTTGTGTCTTTACAGAAATTAAAGAAGGCATCAGAAAATGGAAAGATCTCCCATACTCTTGGATAGGTAGGATAAACATAGTAAAAATGGCAATCTTGCCAAAAGCAATCTATAGATTCAATGCAATCCCCATTAAAATCCCAGCACAATTCTTCACTAACCTTGAAAGGATAATAATTAACTTTATATGGAGAAACAAAAGACACAGGATAGCCAAAACAACCCTGTATAATAAAAGAACTTCAGGAGGCATCACCATCCCTGACTTTAAGCTCGACTACAGAGCTATAGTAACTGAAAACAGCCTGGTATTGGCACAAAAATAGACAAGTAGGCTAATGGAATCAAATCGAAACTCCTGATATTAACCCACACACCTATGAACACCTGATTTTTGACAAAACAACTAAAAGTATACAGTGGGGGAGGAAAGCATCTTCAACAAATGGTGCTGGCACAATTGGATGAGGGTGTGTAGAAGACTGTAGATAGACCCATGTCTATCGCCACGCACAAAACTCAAGTCCAAATGGATCAAAGACCTCAACATCAATTCAGCCACACTGAACCTCTTAGAAGAGAAAGTAGGAGGTACCCTTGAACAAATTGGTATAGGAGACTGCTTCTTGAACATAACTCTAGTAGCACAGACGCTGAGATCGACAATTAATAAATGGGACCTCCTCAAACTTAGAAGCTTCTGGAAGGCAAAGGACACAGATTTTCACCAATGCTACATCTGACAAAGGGCTGATCTCCAAAATATACAAAGAACTCAAGAAACTAGTCAACAAAATACCAAATAACCATATTTAAAAATGGGGTACAGAACTGAAGAGAGAATTCTCAACAGAGGAAATCAAAAAGTCTGAAAGTTACTTAAGAAAGTGCTCAATATCCTTAGCTATCAGGGGAATGCAAATCAAAACAACTTTGAGATATCATCTTACTCCTGCCAGAATGGCTAAAATTAGAAACACCAATGACAGCTTATGCTGGAGAGGATGTGGAGAAAGGGGAACACTCCTCCACTGCTTGTGGGGGTACAAAGTTGTACAGCCATTTTGGAGATCAGTATGGCGGTTCCTCAGGAAAATGGGAATCAGTTTACCACAGGACCCGGCATTCCCCCTCTTAGGCATATACCCAAATGATCCACATCCATGCAACAAAGACATCTGCTCAACTATGTTCATAGCAGCATTATTTGTAATAGCAAGAACCTGGAAGCAACCTAGATGCCCCTCAACTGAAGAATGGATAAAGAAGATGTGGCATATCTACACAATGGAATACTACTCTGCGGGGGGGGGGGGGAATGGAATCTTGAAATTCGCTGGCAAGTGGATGGAACTTGTAGAAACCATCCTGAATGAGGTAACCCAGTCACAAAAAGAGGAACATGGTATATACTCACTCATATATGAATTTTAGACCTAGAGCAAAGGATCACCAGCCTATAATTCACACTGCCAGAGGAACTAGGATACAAGGTGGATTCTAAGAGATTCATATAAGGTCCCTCACAGAAGCAGGAAGGGACAAGTTCTCCAGAGCACATGGGAAGTGTGTGTGGGGGGGGGGCTGTGAATGGAGAGAGAAATAGGAGAAAGAGAAGGGGAGGAGAGGAAAGTACGTGGGACTAGGAAAACTGAGTCAGGGGAGGAATAGAAGACAGAGAGAGAGAGCATAAAAGATGGAGTCATTTATAGGTTAGAAGAGAAAACTGAACCTAAAGAAATGTCTAGAGACCTACAAGACTGACTCCAACTAACAATTTGAGCAATAGTGGAAAGGCTACCATCAATGTCCTTCCCGGGTAATGAGATCAATGACAAACTTATCCACCATCATGGAGCCCTCATCTAGTACCTATTGGAAACAGAAACAAACACCCACAATTTGAGCAATAGTGGAAAGGCTACCATCAATGTCCTTCCCGGGTAATGAGATCAATGACAAACTTATCCACCATCATGGAGCCCTCATCTAGTACCTATTGGAAACAGAAACAAACACCCACAACTAAACACTGAGCCGAACTAGAACCCAGAAGCAGAGAGGAAGGACAAGAGCACCCTGCAGAAACATGTAGAGACAGCTGACCTGGACAAGGAGGAGCTAATGGGCCCCCAGACTGATAGCTGGGAATCCAGCATGGACTGACTCAGGGCCCCCTGAATATGGGTCTCAGCCAGAAGGCCTGAGCAGTCTAAGCGACCTCAGACAGTGGAACCAGGATGCATTCCTGGTACACAAAATGACCTTGCGGGCACATCCCCCATGGAGAGATACTCCCTTAACCTAGAGACAGGAGAAAAGTCCTAGTCCCTACTTCAAATGATTTGACAGATTTAGATGACCCCTCCAGGATGGCATCATCCTACATGGAGTGGGGGGGGGGGAAATGTGAGGGGAGGATTGTCAGGGTGCATGTGAGGGGGAGAGAGAGGGAGGGAAGGAGGGAGGGACAGGGAACTTGGATTGATATGTAAAATTAAAAAATAAAAATAAACTTGGGAAGGGAACAAAATTTGTGCATCTTATACATTTTGGGACTTTGTGAGACTTACGGGTTTATATCCTAGTCTTAATGAGCCTTCCTCAAGGATGGGAATGTTTTAATTCAGAAGGTACTGGTACACATCAGGCACAAGATATCCTGATATATGTAAGGTTTGTGCATTTGATGTTATCACAAGAGCAGGTGTTTGCCATATGCAGGGACATGCAGGAAATAGACTTACTCTAATGTTTATTGTGATTTCATTAGGGTTGTCAACATTAAATACAATCCTAGCCTGTTTACATCTTGTAAGCTTCTAGTTTGTATTTTCTTAATCTTTTAACATACAAGTATGAGGTGACTGTCACCAACTATCTGCCAAGTATTGATGTTTGTGTTTTTCTAACATGGTGTCCTAAAGTGAGCCAGTGTTTCTAAGAGAATAAATATCAGGATAGAAAAACATCAATAAAGCTTTTTTCACAGCTGTTTTTCACAGCTATTTGTAAATTGATTTAGACCTTTGTGAACAATGGTACTTGTCTCCCTCCTCTAAGAGAAATAGTTTTGGTATAAGTTCCTTTTCATTACTTTTTCTCATGTCTTAAAATTGAGCACCAAGGTAGATCTGAGTATATGCTGTACAACTGAGTAATGTGTGTGTTTAAAGAATACAACCTGTTTCATTCAATTCTCAACATGACATACCTAAAGTAGTTTCTGTCAATGCTACTTAGAATTAGTAACCAGTGTATCATCTCAACATAGTAATAGGAGTTACAGTTTATAAGTACATATTAATAATCTGGTAGGAGGCTGCAACAGAATGTTTTGAGCACACAACACCATCTTATACCTTGCCAATGTGTGATTTGGCTTTGATGTCTCTTCTGGATGCTACTCAGACATTTATCTCAATTTTACTTATAATTAGACGAGATCAATCTTCCAATTTTTTTTTAAAGCTAAGCATATGACCTAACTATTAGCATCCTGGGATGGGGTGTAGTGGAAGTTCCATAACACCTCTCTTAGAGTAGTTCCAGAAGACATGGAGTAAGTTACACACTGGTCTCTTTAGTCATAATTTCTGATTGATAACTTTGTCCCTCCAAATGTGGTTTCTATAATTGTGATGCTACAAAGCTTTCCAACCAGTGTGAATGATGTGAAGGACAATAAATAGCCAATGAGGAACTTGCTTTTTTTGAAGGACTTGGGACATGAATGAAAAACATTAGGTTTTTATTAGCAAATAAGCAACTTGAGGTCATGAATACATTTTAATTTCAGAGAACAGGAAAACAAGGAACATATATATATATATATATATATATATATATATATATATATGTGTGTGTGTGTGTGTGTATTAATATGTATATATATATAGATAGATAATTTCAATAATTTGAAGAATAGACCAATACTTTACAGATGAAATTTGTTGCACATAAAATCTGAATGACTTAAGACAGTGGATAAGGGAGCACGACACAAGAAACCCATGAGGTGGGATGGAGAAATGGCTTATTCAGCAAAGTGTTTTCATTACATGGTTAGATCCTCATCTGATGTAAGATTCTAGCAATGGTCATGATGCCTTCCTGTAATCCTATTGCTGAGGTGGCCAAGAGGAGGATTACCAGAGATTATTAAGCAGCTATTTTTGTTCTATCACTGAGCCCAAAGCTCAGTGAAAGATATCACATGTGCACCGATTAATTTTTGTAGCTATGATAAAAATAAGATACCACAACCAAAAGTGACTGGTGGAAGAGTTTATTTTGACTTAGAACTCGAGAGGGTTAAGTTCATCATATCAGAGAAGTATGACAGCAGGAATGGGAAGCTGAGAAATCACATCTTAACCAATACTAAGCAGACAGAGTGAGTCACAAGTGGGATGAGGCTATGAAATCTCAAAGCCTGCCCCTACTAACAGCTTCCAGAAAGGCCACATGTCCTAAACTTCCCCAAACAGTGCTACCAATTGGAAACCAAGTGTTCCAGTGCCTGAATGTATGGGAACATCTTATTCAAACCTCAGTTCCCATAGGCTTCTAGCTATATTATAATGCAAAATGTGTTTAGTCTAACTCCAAAGTCCCCACTGTTTTAACATTTCAAAATCTCTTCAGAGACTTCTGGAACTGTTAAAAATGATAACTCCTTATAAATTCAAAATAGCAAATTACACACTCAAAACATACAATGGTACAGAATATACATTGCAACTCCAAAAGAAATATTGGGCTATAGTGAGGAAATACTGGGCCAATCAAGACTGAAACCCAGCAAGGCAAACTCCAAATCTTGTGGTTCAGTGTCTTGTATTTTTATTTTCCAAAGGCTGTGATGGCTCTGCCTTTTCAGCTTTGCTGCCTGCAACATGTACATCCTTCTCTTGGGCTGGTTCCACTTCCTGTATATGGCTTTCCTGGGTAGATAATCCCATGGCTCTGGCATCTCTAACATCTTGGGGTTTCCATCAAAGCCCAGATTCATTCAGATGGCATCACACAATGGCCTCTCAGGGCCTCTTTCCCTCTCAGAGCCTTCACTCAAGGACTACCTGTCACATGCTTTCTGGCCTCTGAAACCACAGAGGAAGAATCCTTAACCCCTTCACGCCTGCATCCTTCATTTCTCTAAAGCTAACACACCATGTGGATGATACTGCCAAGTTCCACTGTCATCTTAGAATGGACTCTGCCCACCCACCACCTGCCACCTTGAACCACATTAGCATCAGCTTCTGTATTCAGTTGTTTTCTAGGAGCATAAAACTTACACCTTTTCCTTTCAAAAGATGGAAGCTTATCTGAGTGGGATCTTGCTCTGGAGGAATCCTCCCCTTTGTTCCAGTGCAGATAATGTCTCATTAAGGGTGCTAATCTTTTCAACATTTATAGCCTGTCTTCTAGCACAAGCATTATAGAACTTCATAAATATTATTAGTAACAACTGTGCCACAATTTCAACCAAAGAAATTAGGCCATTACTTTTTGATTTGCCCTCAGGCAAGTCCTTGGGACTTCCTGAGAAGGCAGCCTGATTCTTTACCAAAATATCTCATGAATGGCCTCTAGCCATGTTTCTAATATTGTTCCCTTCTGCAAATTCTTGAGTCTCCACATTCTCATCACTACTGTATCCCAAACTCCTACTAGAATGGCCTTTTAAGCTCTGCTTATAGCATCCAACAACTTTTTTAGTCTGAAATTTCAAGGCCTTCTACATTTTTCCAAAAAGCAACTTTTTTTTTTTGTACTGCCAGCTCCCAAATAATGACACACACTTATTATGCCTTGTTACTTTGTCTCTTCATACTGCTCCTGCTGCTTTCTCTGCTTCTGGCTGGCAACCCTGCCTTTCTTCCTATCTGAGTCTTCTCTGTCCCCAGTGGTCCCACCTAACCTCTTCCTGCCTAGCTATTAACCATTCAGCTCTTTCTTAAACGAATCACAGTGACACATCTTCACACAGTGTAAAGGAATATTCTGCAACATTCAGGTCCTCCAGAAATACCCCACTCCTAGTACCAACTTATGTATTTGTTATTTTTCTGTTACTGTGATGAAATACCATGACCTGAAGTGACTCTTGATAGAGTCTTAGTTTACAATTCCAGAGGGATAAGGGTCCATCATTTTGGGTGGGTGTGGCAGGAGGAGCAGAAGCCTGAGAGACCACATCTCAACTACAAGCATGAAGCAGAGAACAAAGCAGAAGTGAAACACAACAGGTTCTCATCAGAACCACTTGAGCAAGTGCTCAGGGTGTTTAAAAAGCATGTCTGGCCCCTATCTACTTTGTGCCAGTAACAACTCCCAACCTCCAGTTATAACAACCACAATTGTTCCCACACACAATGTACTCTGACACAATAATATCACTCATATTATTTATTGGCACATGTATGCCTTCATTTTAATATTAAAATTATAAAGACCAGTAGTTTTCCTTTGTTACAAACTTCTGATATTTAAATTTTGCTCAAAATTTCACACATTATCAACATTTAATTTATTCAAATTGTTCAATGAAACTTCTCTAATACAGTATTGACAATTTGCTATGCATGTACAATTTTTGAAATATTAAAGAACATATAAGTTCTCTCAAACATCTCATCCAGTTATGAAGGGTTTGCAATCTTATCAAAACATCATGCACAATGGTTCAAGAAAGTATTCCTCAACTAAACTAAAAACAGTATTTGGGGATAAAAATGAGGACATCTCTGCCCTCTCCAATCAGTAATATTTCTCTTAAATTTGTGGCTTTCTGACAATGGATGTCAAGGCCATTTTGCAGATCACGTTCACTTCAGGTCCCCAGACTCATGAAAACTGAGGGAGAAAAAACTTAAAGTGTTTCTATGGGCCTGGTAGTAACAGTGATCATCATATATGTGCACATTTTTCTGTAGGGCTGTTACACAGTCAGGTGGATTACCTAATGGAGACTGTTCCAAAGAAAACAGCCAACTTGTTCTACACAGAATTTTCTGATTAAATGTAATGCCTGCTAAGTGGCCTTCTCAGGGAAACACTGTCTTCATTCATCAATTTTTAGAGTATCACCTATGTGTGACTTGTCTGATGCCTACTGAATGTTTCTGCTAAGAACTTTCCACACTCTACTCACAGGCCTTCCCTCAGGTGAATTTTCTGATGCACCGTGAGGGAGGACTTATGATAGAATGTTTTCCTACATTCCTCACACTCAAATCGTTTCTCACTCTCATGAGTTACCTGATGCCTGTTCAGATATGACTTTTGGTGAAAAGCCTTTGCACATACCGTACATTCATAGGGCTTCTCACCTGTGTGAGTTCTCTGGTGTACAGTGAGGTGTGACTTACTGTAAAATGTTTTCCTACATTCTTCGCATGAGTATGGTTTATAACCTGTGTGGCTTCTTTGATGGACAGTGAGAGATGACTTATGAAGGAATGTTTTCCGGCACTCTTCACATGCATATGGTCTGTTTCCTGTGTGATTCCTCTGATGCCTGCTGAGACTGGACTTTTGGTAGAAAGCTTTCCCACATTCTTTACATTCATAGGGTTTCTCACCAGTGTGAGTTCCCTGATGCATGCTGAGGTGTGACTTCCGGTGAAAAGTCTTTCCACAGACACTACATTCATAGGGTTTCTCACCTGTGTGTGTTTTCTGATGTACAGTGAGGTTTGACTTCCGGTTGAATGTTTTCTGACATGCTTCACATTCATACGGTTTGTCACCTGTGTGAATTTTCTGATGTATAATGAGGTGTGACTTAGAGTAGAAAGTCTTTCTACACTCGTCACATTCATACGGTTTCTCGCCTGTGTGGGTTCTGTGATGTACATTGAGGTCTGACTTACAGTAGAAAGTTTTCCTACATTTTTTACATTCATAGGGCTTCTCACCTGTGTGAGTTCTCTGATGGATAGTGAGGGATGACTTATGGTAGAAAGTTTTCTTACATTCTTTGCATCCATAGGGTTTCTCACCTGTGTGAATTCTCTGGTGCCTGTTGAGGTGTGACTTCCGATAAAATGATTTCCCACACATATGACATCCATAGGGTTTATAGCCTGTACGGGTTCTCTGATACCTCCTGAGTTTTGGCTTCTCGTTAAAGCTTTTTTCAGATTGATAAAGTTCATACAGTTTTGTTCCTTTGGGGACTCTCTGGTGTACATTTTGCTGTTTTTTCTGATGAAAAAATTTCTCACATTGTCTACATCTGTAGGATCTGAGTCCTGCATGCATTACTTGTTTTTTGTGGTACGACTTCTTAATGAAGGTTTTCTCACAATCACTACACTTGTAATACTTCCGTACTTTGTGTATTTTCTTATGTTTAGTGAGCTTAAACTTTGAACAGAATGTTCTCTTGCAAATATTACATTCAAAAGTTTCTTCCCTTACCCAAGTCCTCTCTTGGGCATTAGGAGCTACCTCATCAGATGCTTTCCCAGACTCACCAAATTTACTGGGACTATGTGCAATGTGAAAGCTCTTATTTGTCCATAAGGTCTTTGTATTGCAGGCTGCTTCCTGTCTACAACATTGGAAATGCTGTTGAGTACTTGGAGCTCTGTTATACAACCTGTGGTGCTGTGCATGTATGGGGGACTTGCTAGTTAGAGGGCCATCAAGATCCTTTCCAGTCTGCATGTTATCAGGCACATTAGGGGGATGCACATTCTGCCACACATTAAGTGCTGTAGGCCTCATTCCTGAAGAACTTCCATTCTTTATAGTTAGATTTGAAACATGGTTTGAACTCACATTAAGTATTTTTCCTAATTTAACATTCTCCTCAGTTGATGTGTTGCTGTTGGTAATTACAAGGTGCCACAAATGTCTGTCTTGATTGTCCTGGCTGGTTTCATCCAGTTCATTTACTTTCTGGACATCTAAAAAAAAAAAAAAAAAAAAAACAGAAGTAGCCAAGCTCATATTATAGCAGAAAGATAAAGAATTGCCTTCTCTTCTCATTATATTATGATTTCAAAATAATATTGATATGTGATATAGATAGATTTGTTCCCAATGAATCTATAAATTAGAATTTACAATGTCAAATCACATCATTCCATTGATTTAAAAGTGTTTTATTCATTTCTAGCGTGAGATAATTAAATATTCACCCATGCCTAGCTGTGTATTTCAGTACACTCATTTCTACCTACTATTTTCCCCTGTTCCCTCCTTCTAGTTCTTTAAATCATCCAACTTTCCTTTTCTCTCTGATTTGTAAGGTAAGGTTCTTGTCAGTTGGCTATCTAAGGGTGGAAGTTGGTATTGTCTTTCACCGGGTCAGAAATACAGTTTAGACTTAGGAAAGGATTGATACCTATGTGTTTAGTTTTCACTTTTCCATGAGGAATCACAATAGAAACTTAGGGGGCTGGTTTATAAATGTAAATGGTCTCATTCCCACATGAAAACAGCTAACGATAAACCTCCAAATCCCTAATCAAAATTTATTTTTTGTTTCCTTGAATCCTAACAAGGTCAGGAAGCTCCAACCTCCTCGTTGGACTCATTCAGGAAACTGAGCCATGCCTATTGTTCTTTGAAATGTATTTCTGAGATTCATAAAATTGTCATTCTTCACTTAGGTTAAGGTACATGCATCCCTACTTTGTAACCTTTGCTTCTGGAAGCTTTTATTTTGTATTAAGCTGTCTTCTACATCATAAATGGAGCCTTCTACATAAGTCTATTCTCTCCAAATTATTTTCACAAAGAGAGACTGCTGATGAGAGACTTCGCACCCACACAGAAACTTAAGCAGGAAATCTTGCTTCACTTAAGTCTCTTCATGTCAAAGAGCTGTTTGTCCCATCAAAGCTAGGTTTCCCCTTTGCATACTGGGCGATTTGGTTGTGCTAAGTGTCCCTCACTTTCATGGATTCTGATTCTGTGGACAGAAGACTTGATTCTAGAATTCTTTTTCTGTTTTTCTCATCAATCACCTTAGTTAATGCCTGAATAACTATGATATAAATATTTATATTAAACTACTCATTTCCAAAGGACTAAGTTCATGGCCACTCTCAAGTCTATGTTTTTTGCCCACCTATGTATTAGGTATACCAAATTTGAAAAAAAGCAATGTCAAGATTAAACTAAATAAATAATCATCTCCTTAAAATTCCCTTCCTTTTAGACTTTTCCTGAAATAAAACCGTGTATACTTTTATTCCTTGTTTTGTAATAAAGCATTGTGACTTTTATTTTACAACCAAATACTTTGTGTTTAAGTTTTTTCAGTAAAATGTAATCTCTTTATCTGCGATGAATGTTTTAATATTACATGTCTTATTTTAAAAGTGCAATGTTTAGCAATTAACCAAATACCACATGATAAAAGAACTAACACAGCCAAAAATGCCTGGGGTAGAAAACACAGATAACTGAGAATTTAGAGAAGTAGTTAACCAACTAATCAAAGTTACAGAAATTTGTGAACTCAAGAAAATATGTAACAAAATTAAAAAGAGAGTGAAGGATCATATGAGAATTCTCCTTAGAAAATGTACACAGAAAACATCTGATGTATGTCACCAGCTGACCCCAAGACTATCAGTGAAACAGTTCAACACCATCAGTGTCTATTGGATTCTGGTCATCCTGGTCTCTTTGTCCAGGGCACATTCACTGACCTGGCTGACGCTGCTCTGGGATGTCTTCTACTCTCCATGGCCCAGTTCCTTGCTCCAACTTAAAGATCACCTCGGGTTTGGTAATGCAGTGACCTGTTAATGGGAAAAAAAGTAAGATTGTGCCAAGTGCTAAGTCAAGTACACTGCAGAGAGATAACAGCTTTGGGAAATGAGCGACTGCTAGACAAATCTAAACATTCTGTGAGTGCACACTCATATTCTTCATGGTGTGCAATCTCGCCTTTATTAAGCGCAGTTAAATGGCTTGAGGAAGAAAGCAAAGCTGGGACTAGTGCAGGCCTGTGACCTCAGATACCTGAGAGGCTGAGACAGAAAGAATCCAGTTCAAAGTCTTTCTCATCAATTTAACAAGACCCTGTCTCAAAATAAAAAATAAAAAATGTATTGGGGATACAGCTCAGTGACAGAACACTTGCCTAATATATATGAATCCGTAAATTAATCCCCAGCACTAAGAATAAATAAATGGGGAAAGAAAATCTAAGAATGGTTTTAAGAATACTTAAAGAGACACAATACAATTCACTTTTTTAAAAAAAGAAGGAAGGAAGGAAGGAAGGAAAGAAAGAAAGAAAGAAAACCAGCAAGCAGACTCATATGTAGGAGACAAGGATGACTAAGAACCGAAGGGGTCCACCTGTTGCGATGGGTTCCACCTTTAGGACCATATGGAGGAAGAAGAGCACCATGTCTGCCAAATTGTTCTCTGACCTCTAGATGCATGGCACGGCATGTGTGTGTGCTTGAAAAAATTTTAATCTGAATTTTGGAGCTAAGACTCAACCAAAACTTAAGGAAAATAAAAATATGGGTGCTTCCACAGCAGAAGTGATTAAAGTTTAGAATAATGTGGTCAGATGTCGTTTTGTTCTTTGGTGTGTATGTGAGACAGGGTCTCACTATGTAGCTCTGGCTGTCTTGGAACCTACTATGTAAATGAGACTAGCCTCACACTCAGATACCCACCTGCCTCTGCCTTATAAGTACTAGGATTAAAGGCATGTATCATATTCTAAAATGAAGAAAGAAACTGATTTATTTCCATTCCATCTGTATGAATGCTTGCTTGCATGCATGTCTAGGCACTATGTGCATGCAGTTTCTGTGGATTCAAGGAGAGATAGCTGGTTTATTATTTATTTCACTGAATAATTTATTTATTTGGATTTTTAAAATGATTTTGATGTGTATATGTGGTGTATGTGCTTGTATGCATGAATTCGTACAAGTTCATACACACATGCATAAACATTTGGAAGCCAGAGGATAGGATGATGTTAGGTATTTTAGTATTTTGATAGATCATGATTTTAAAGTAATCTTGGGCTACATGAGATCTTGTCTTTTTTTAAAAAAGTATTTATGCATAAGGGAACATTATTCACTAAGAAACCCAAGAATTATCTCAAGTTGGAACTGATGAATGTTTTTGCCTGAGGCACAAAAAGATAAATATTGCATATCATTGTTTATAAATAGAAGACAAAGTTGCAATCAAGGAAATAGAGACAGAGTGATGATCATAGCCTAGAAGAGTATGTAAGGGAGGGATAGAGCAAAGATGGTTAAAGTATGCAGGGATATAGCCTGGATAGCCAGTATAAATTTCAGTTTTCTATAGCACAGAAGCATGACCATAGTTATAAATAATTAAATGTTCCAAAATAGCTAATAGAGGATTTATCATAAAGATATGATATGTTTGCATAGACCTGCCAATTTCTGGAGGTAGGTTTATACATATATAATATACTCTGTGTGTATGTGTATGTGTGTGTGTGTGTGTGTGTGTGTGTGTGTGTGTAAACAAATTTCAGACATGGTTACTGTTCTTACTAACAAAGGAAGTGCTTCTAATACTACTGGTGCCTTTTACTCACCCAAGGACTCCAGGCTCCTGTAGGTCTCCAGCATCACGTCCCTGTAGAGCTTTCTCTGAGCATCATCCAGGTCCTGCCACTCATCCCAGGTGAAGTCCACACAGACATCCTCAAATGTCACCAATCCCTGTAATGAACATTTCTCCTTAACTCAAGCTTTTGGGCATACCAGAAGATAGGAATGTGGGATTGTGCTCTTTGTGAGTGTGTCTCACATAGGCTGCATATTGGTTTATATTCTCTATCATGGGAAGAAAAAAAAATCACTGTTATCTTGCTTCTGTACTAATTTAGTAACTCAAAAGACTACTACTACAACATTTCCATTCCTAACAAAAATGGATGAATTATGTACAGTAAAACATTCACAAGGCTCTAGAATCAATTTGCAGCAACATACACAGACACACACACACACACAGAGAGAGAGAGAGAGAGAGAGAGAGTCAGTACACACATGTCAGTGCAGAACAGTGCAGATGAGGACTACTAAGCATCCTTAAGGTTATGCTTCACTGACAGCAAGCTTAGCTCTTTGACACAATGAGTTCTTATGAGTAACAAGACACAGAAATCAAGTTATAAAAGCAAACAAACAAACAAACAAAACAAACCAGTGGTTAATGGACCTGTATGGAGAACCACATGTAGGTGACTGTTCCTGGGCAGTGGTGAGTTTAAAGTTACATGTCCAGATGACTAACAATCCAGTGATTCTGCATTTAAAAAGTCTAATTCCAACAACTCAAGTACAATTATAGTAATCCTTATATTTGCCTCTTAATCTGAGATCTGCATTCTGAAAGTTGTCTTGGAAAAGGAGGACAGGGAAGGATGCAAATGAAGAATAATGAGGGATGAAACCAAGTGACACATAATTACCTGCACTGGGATATATAGCATTAAGAATATAGAATAGAAATCACCCTTAGTTAAGCAGCAATTTGAAGGCCAGGTGAGGCTACATAAGATCCTGTCTCAAAAATCAAACACCAAATAAAAGAATACAACTAAGTCTGGTAGTGCACACCTTTAATCCTCGCAATTGAGACAGAGGTAGGCAGATCTCTGTTAAGTACAAGACCAGCCAGGTCTACATAGTGAGACCTGAGACCCCATGTCAAACAAGCAAGCAAACAAACAAGCACATATACAAAGAGAGAACAGAAAATTCATCCTAGAAAAATAAAGAAAAAAAAAAAAACTCCAGGATTAAAATTTGGTAATCATTTGCTATGCCTAGGGTAAAAAGAGATCTATACTTCCAGGCTGTATACATGATCAACTAAGTAGAAAGTAATTTTGTAAAAATCAAGAGGAAGTACAATGAACATGATAGACAATAGATTCATTTAAATGTACTGTGGATTGGTTAGTTTGTTTTTGAGACAATGTCTCGTGTAGGTCAGGCAAGATTCACATTCTGTGTAGCTGAGGCTGGCCTTGGACTCTTGATCCTCTTGCCTCCAGGGTACTGGGATTACAGGCATGTGTACCACCATATCCTACTAAACATACTGTTTCTGTGATGAGACATGTGGGTCATTCAACTGGCTATTGGATTTAGGACCTGTGGTGGTTTGAAAGAAAATGGACCCCATAAGAAGTGGCACTATTAAGAGGTGTGGCTTTGTTGGAGTAGGTTTGGCTTTGTTGAAGGAAGTGTGTCACTGTGGAGGGTGGGCTTTGAGGTCTCCTATGCTCAAGCTATACTCAGTGTGATGACAGCTCACAGATCAGGACATAGAACCCTCAGCTCTTTCTCCAGTACCATGTCTACCTGCACACAGCCATGTCCTGCCATGATAATAATGGACTAAACCTCTGAAACTGCAGCTAGCCCCAATTAAATGTTTTGCTTTATAAGAGTTGCTGTGGTCATGGTGTCTCCTCACAGCAATAGAAACCCTAACTAAGACAGGACCTAGCAATCAAAAGACAGTTTTAGCAGGAAAAAATAAGATTTCACTAACAACAGAACCTCAGTTATATGAAGGTAACAGAGTAAGTGAAATGGCTTGAGGAGAACACAGAGATTGTAAAAATAGAAGTACAGAATCTGCAGAAACATTAACATTCAGTGACTGAGAAAGAGAATCAGACCACAGGAATCTAGAAACATTCTTAAATACTTTTTCTAGGAATAAGGAAAGACTCAATATTTAAAAATACATTAATGTATTTCACTGTACTCACAGTTTCACTGGTGGGGGTGTGTGATCCTGTGATTATCCTCAAAGACATGGAAAAGGCATTTTTTATCATTTATTTTATTTTACACAGGTGGGTGTTTTGCCTGCATATATGTATGTGTCCCATGTGCCCACAGAGGCCAGAAGGCATTATATACCTTAGAACTGTAGTTACAGATGATTGTGAACTGCCATGTGGGTGCTAGGTATTGAACCCAGGTCCTCTGGAAGAGCAGTCTATGTTCTTGACCAATTAAAACAGGAGCCCTTTGTAAAGATTCTCAGTAAAAGAAAAATTCAGAACAGTTTCCCTCTCATGATAAAAGTTATGACTCTTAGGAAAATAGGGAGTGATAAGGATGCTCCATCTTTCCAGGCAAGATTTGGTAGGCCTGTAATCCCAGCACTTGGAAGGCAGAGGCAGGAGGACCCAAGTTAAGAGGTCAGCCTGGTCTATATAGCAAGCCTACAAAACTCAAACATCAACATAAAGACCCACCTCATGAGCACCAACACTGGACAAGATATGCCAACCGAGTTAAATGAAAAGGGGAAAAGTGCACATTATGACTTCCTTAGCATTTAGAAGTAAAAGCACCTGATGATATCCTGTAAAGTATCTCAAATAGAAAACTCAATAAATCAAAACTATAAAAAAATTAAACTCTACGTGTGAGACTATTCATATAAGAAAAGTACTGAAATAAAGCGCTGGCCATACTAACTACAAAAGTATGCAAGTATACTAAGGGAGGAAAGGGTGAAGGATTTAAAAAGCAAATAGAGAGAGTACCATATTGATGGAGTAGAATTTTATATTATAAAGACACTTTCTGTTGACCAATAAATAATTTAACAGCAGTCCAATGGAAGCATCAAATTTATAGATATGGGCAAAGGGATTTATTTCTGTTTTTCTGGGGGAACTAAAGGACAAAAACAGTTGCTTTCCCCAATACAAATCCCTCCCTGCATTCACTGCTTTGGGCTTCCATAACATGCCACGTTTTCTCAGTTCTGCAGGATCAAGATACCAGCTGACTGAGTTTCTGCTGAGGCCTTTCCAGGCTTATAAAGGCACAGTGAGAAACAACTCTCTCCCTCTTCTTTTAAAGGCCCTTAGTCCTATAAGATTAGGAACCAGCACTTTTTTTTTTTTTAAAAAGCATAGTTAACTCCAAAATGTCCTATCTACAGATACAGTGACATTTGGTTTTAGTGGTCAGCCTCATCCTTATATTATATATTCACCCACAGCATTTGCTATTCCTAACTCTGATGAAAAATCAAATGCCTCCTTGTAGTCAATCCAATAATCAGGTTTATAATGCCCCACTTAGGTTGGCTGGCCAAACAGTATTGTCCATGTAGGCCAGAGGACAACCTCCTCAGATATAGTTCCTCAGAGCCATCTTCCCTCACACTGTGGAATGCCTAGCCTCCTTCCTTAGAGCCCTGGATCCCAGATCCCCCTTTAAATTCCCATTGGTATAGTATGCATATGGGGTCCTTTAAATAAAGGCTATAGGCAGGGTAGTGTGAGAGGAATCAGTACGTGGCGTTCCACTTTTAGGGTGCCCCTCTCTGTGGACTTCATTCTTCTACCCATAACAATAGAGACTGCAACACACATTGGAGTGTGTAGGCCTCATCCTGAGCAAAGGACAAAAATGCAATCCCTACCTCCTTGTACGAAAGTACAGGCCCCAGAGCCAAGGGAGGAGGTGTAAGGGTGATAGCCGATGACCCCACAACAAACTGTACAGTCTAGTTTTCAATGATCAAGATTTCAAATCTTTCAAGAAAGTTATTTTGATTATTTTGCTTTTGGTATCCTTCACTGGGATTGCTCAACTTCATTTTTGGACTGCTCTTTGTATAGAGAAACACAGTTGATTTCATTTTTGACTTTCGTGACTTTGCTCAACCTTTCCGTGTGTCATATTTTTAATGAACACAGTGTCACCTCATCTCCAAATGCATATGATTATGACCCCGTTTTTCAAATTTACAGGGCTCTTAGTCATTACTGCTGCCATGGGTCCTGCAGAGCACCTCTAGGACAGTGATAATAAAAGTAGTGAGAATGGATGTGTCTTATTTCTCTTCTCAGGAAATAAAAATACTGATTTTATTAAGTAGGACATTAATTACAAGTAAAATGTAACTATGTTCCTATGCTGTTGTATCTTTTCATCTCAAAAGGTGGAGTTTCTTCAGTTTGTTTTCTGCATTTACTGAAATGATAATGTGAATTTTTAAAAATGCATTTAATTTAGTGTATGTGCATGCTTATGCCACAGAGCACACATGAAGGTCTTATGGGATTTGGCTCCTTCCTTTTCACCTTGTGGGACCTGGAGATCCAACTCAATTGTTAGAATTGAGACCCTTTACCCACTGATCTACCTTGATGGTGATCTTGTGGACTTACAAAAAGTTGATTACTATGATATATTACATTAAATCATGTTTGGCAAAAGAGTGTTACACACACACATGCACGCACACACAATCTCATAATACTGTTTCTAGATAAAGTAAGGCAATGAAGATGATAACATGCACACATATTACCTTCTATAGTTTCTTATTTACCTTTACTGACTCCTTGTGTTTTCTTGCTCTGCACCCCTGGGACCATCTCCAGTGATTGTAAGTGACTGAGCTCTTCTTGCAGCTTCTCTTCTGCTTTCCAATCTCAAGAGTTTGACTGGGGAGTTGACCCATACAGTTCTCCACGCTGTCCTGATGCAAGTTCCTCTACAAAAGCATACGATGTCGAAGATGCCACATGAGTGATTTAGAGCCACATTTACAGTGACACATGATCCAAAGCAAACTTCAACAGAATGACCCTCAGTCTCCCATGAATGAGTCACACCATTATTTGTCATGTGAGCCTGGCAAATGCAGCGCCCTCGGTACAATGCAGACCCTTTGCTAAAACTGACATACACGCAAATGCTGAAAAATGCTTCCAAATACTTGCAAAATTGTTAGAGACTATCACAGCAGCACACTAAGTAGTCACACAAGTTTTGCTATAGTATTTATAAAAAAAAAAAAAAAAAACCAAAAACTTTTAAGTTTCTTCCATACATGTATCAGTCTTACCAAGACACTTGGCAATAATATCAACTGAAACCTTACAAGTTCCATGGAAAATAATGTAAATTATAGCTACAGAACAGTCAAAGATGCAGGAATTCTGATGTATTCTACTAATTGCTCTACTTGAGATTTTTACAAAGTTAGGGGAAACAGGGATTTTAAATGGGGTTTGAAAAGTTTCCAACCATTGTAAAGAAGTACATAGATTCTTTGCTGCCCATAGCCACACTTGTGACCAACTTCCTACAACTCTGTCCCAACTCCTACTTTTCAGCAACACCCCAAAAGTACGTATCGTGCTGTGGATTCATCAAGAGATTATTCATGAGGCCAGAGCCATTGGAATGTCACCTCTGGAAAGGCCCTCACACAGCCAGAGGTGTGTTTTATTCATGTTAAGAACAGTCAGTCCAACCAAGCGGACAATCAAGATCACAAGCACACATACTTGTTATGAAGACGGAATAAGGTGTACATAGACCCATTGGGCTGGTACATCGGAAGCAAAACATAATTACAGCAAAGGACCCGATTTCGGTGTGGAAGAGACTGCGCGTTCCTACTCACACAAGCCAACACAATAAAAGCCTTCCGGATTAGGGGAGGCCAGAAGATAAACCAGCCCAGGCTCAGCCCACACCTTAGGCTGCTCTAGCGCCCAGGCTGTCACTGCTAAACAAGATGACTCCAGACACAAAAGCGGTAGCACCGGGGTCTGGACCAGAAGGGGAAGGGTGCGGCTGAGGACAAGTCTCCCTGCAGCTTCAGGGAGTATGGAGGCTCGGCCACGTCAGGACCGGGAGTGACAGAAGCTGTGAGCGCAACCCCGCAAAGGCCTCCGGGAGCCAAACCGTCTGCACACAGCACAGCGCAGGGATCGAGGCCCTGCCCCGGCCGTTCCCGCGGGCAGCACTCACCATGGCGCCCCCGTCTGCCTCCCTCAGCTGACAGTCCTGAGACACCCGGACTACCCGGCCCAGCTGACCGACCAAGCGCTAAGATGGCGCGAGACAAAGACCCGCGAACCAGCGAAACCTCGAAGGCCCGCCCTTGCGCCCGGGCTGCGTGCCTGATTGGATCGCACCTCAGTCCCCAACCCGTAATACCTTGAGTGACCGCAGATGGCACCAATCCATGGCTGAGTAGGACAGAATTCCCTGAATAGAGACATCTACGAGTGTTTTGTGTTTTTTTTTTTTTTTTTTTTTTTTTTTTTTTTGTTGTTATTTTGAAATTTGTTTTTCGAGACAAGGTCTTGCTGTGTAACCCGCACTGTCCTCGAACTTATGACAGTCTTCCTGCCTCGGCTCCAAAGTGCTGAGATTGCAGGAGCTGAGCACTATGCTCCCCTTTTCTGCAGCTGTTTGAAGATAAAGCTCACTCCAGGTGGACAGCAATTGGAGAGGGGGCCCTGCATCACACCTGGGCAAAACAGTGGAGCAGGCACTGGTCCTGTGGGTGCGGGTGAACTGGACCTGAGGGCCTAAGAGCAGAACTGGTTCCGCTCCTTGCTGCAGGCTGCTTTGGGTTAGCTAGCCTAGGCAGTGCTGGAGAGTTCATTTCAGTAGTGATGATGAGGGAAAGTTAATGAGCTGACCAACCCAGCTACCACCTGGTCCCAGAACCAGGGCTATGAGTTGGCCCGTCCCAACATCCACCTCATCTACAAACTACTGGAGCATGGGAAGGGGCCGAACCTACAGATCCAAAACTGCAAGATTTCCACAACAGGATATCCAAGAGGAGTCCCAGTGATGGCCCGTTATCTATAGTGCAGCAGAAGCCAGAGGCCTGGAACCAGACCAATGACTCAAAACAGTGAACACGTACAAGTAAAGATGTTTGAACCAAAAGGCCACACCACAGCTTCCACACTGAGAAGTGTATGTGTTTGTTTGGTTGGTTTTGACTTTTCTTTTAAATTTGGGGGGAAGTTGCAAGGGCATAGGGCAGATGAGTGGGATCTGAATGCATGATGTGAAATTCACAAAAAAAAAAAAGTAAAAGAAAAGAAAAACCCAAACCCTCTTATGTTGATTCTAACCATCAACAATGTTTTCTCTGCCTCAGAGCCTAAGTTGGAGCTTAACAACTAATTAGTAATTGCTCTGTGGTGAGCTTTTAGCTTCCTGCCACTTGTCCCTCAGTAATTCAGTGCTGGCTATTCAGAGAGACTGCCTGAGAGCACAAGACCTCAGACAAACAAGAATTTACCCACTGGGGGAGGTTAATGGTGGAAGAGGTTTGTGAAATATTGGCTCTTGGTGGGCTGGCTACCTTTGATAGATTTTTTTTTCTTTTTTCACAAAGCTGACCTTCAGCCCAGCTTATTACAAATGACATGGCCTTTCCCCCCCACTTCTCTGCTTTATCCTTGTCCTCTAGGCCACACTAGATTTACAGCTTGCCTACCTGAGAGTTTTTCTTTAAAACTCACATAAATTGTCCCTAGGTTTTCATTGAGCTGGACATGAGAGCAAGAAAGAACTCCAGAGGCATGTCAGGACCTGTATATGAGAAGGAATTCCATCTTGTCACGAGTTCAGAGACCTCAAATTACTTCTATTGTCCTTAAGACATTAATTAGCTTGCCGGCTACAGGGTGCCTAGGTCTAGATGGTGAGATGGCTCCTATCTAAATCACCATGAATTTGGGCCCAGATGGGTTTACACTCACCCTGAAAGCAGAGAGTACTTCGGTTATGTAGTGCCTTGAGGATTAGAGGAAGTAATTGCTATTTGCCCTTTATACTAATAAAGAAGTCCTCTGCCACTGGCCTCACCTTTGGTTGACTACTTAAGTTTGGTATATGAATAAAATGGTGAATTCAGTATGGACTGAATCTGCCTTCCTGACATAATGTATGTCTCTGTTTTCCTTTCATCATCGATATCTAGTCTTTCTCTTGTCTACACTCCCTAAGGAACGACCCGGGTCTGATCAGCTGGTTCAAGTTGCGGCCCTACAAACTCCAGTCCTAGACAGAGGGGGACCTTGATTTTCTGGGTATCATATGGTGGCTCCTCCCCAGATTCCCAGGACATCTAGTAACACTTTTTGTCCTCCCTTTTCTTTATTAGGTGGGTAAGTGAACTCCCCCCACCCCCCTGCTGTGGACCTCTGGGCCCATGACTGCAAGGTCCTGAAAATCTTTGCTATGTGTGCTATGTATGAAGCAGGGACAGCTACAGTCTTGGCTAGGGCCACAGCATGAGGGGAAAACTCAGGACACACCCTTGTAGTTGCTTCAAAAATGCTGGCAGCCAGGGCATTTGACACTGTGCCTGCTGGGGTGAAGCTCTTTGGTGAGACCACTTTCGAGGAATTGTAAGAGAGCAGAGTTCTGACCCCCTGCTTGGGGCTCCCGGCCTTAGGAGCAAAGCTGCTGCGGGGGGCTGGGGGGGGTGTTGCGGAGGAGCGCCAAAGGGAGCTTAGCGCAAATAAACACTCTTCCTGGTTCCGACCCCAGAGGGGAAAAAACCAAACACGGGACATACAGGTGTATTGACACACAAACTCCTGCAGAGGGCGCCAAGAGTTAGAAATTCCATTGAGCAAAATTGAGACTTTTGTTTTTTAATTTTTATTAATTTTTATCTAGACAGGGTAGCGTGTGCCACTTTTCACTTCACTTCCTTTTTCCTTATTCTTTTTTTTTTTCGTTGAAGCTAAATTCACATAGCATAAAACAAACCACTTTGGCACTTAGGACATTCACACCGTATTCCAACTACACCTATATCTGATCTGAAGATATTTCCAGTGCCTTAAAATAAAATTTGAAACCATTGTGTAATCCGGTAATTCCATACCCACTTTCATCCCGCTCCCTCATCAAACCAGTTAGCAAACTACTGTTTGCAACGTTTTATGGCCTTGGACATAATCTTCACAATTGAGGCAGATGTCCAGGTGTCGAGCAGGTGAAGCTCTTAGGGTCCCAGCTGGAGCCTCTGGACCACACATATCCTGGATGGCAGAGTGCATGCAGGCCTGACAATTCATGTTTTCATGTGGCATCCCCTCATGTTTTTACATAAAATAACTTGTTTACAAGAGGGTGCACCCCCCAAGGAAGCATGCTGGGAGGGACATAGGGCTGGGCTTTCTTAATAGCCAGGGGACTAGAGCACCTAAGTGTCCTTGACCATCTGCTGAATTGAAACTAACATTCCTTTTTGCAGAGCCAGGTTGTAATGAGAAAAATAAAAAGACCCCAACTAAACAAGGGACCCCTGACTCTAGGCTATGTGACAGGAAGACACAAGCAGTTCCCACAAGAAGAGGGGAGTCTGAGCTCATCACCAACTGTGTCAACATCACTCCCCACTCCATTGTCCCTTAAGAAAACTGGGAACCAGGTAGTCTCCCCCAGACCCTAGGATGTCCTTAAAGAAAGGGGAGCTAGATAACCTCTTCCGGCCCCCAGGATGTGTTCATCAACCCTGCCTGAGCAGAGGACAGTTATGGTTCCTTTGCTAAATACCCTTTGTCTTGCAATTACCTTGTATGGAAACTTTGTAACCTTGTACACTAAGAAATCTCTGTAACCATGGAAACCTTGTGACATGAGACCAGAGGGTCTCAGGATCCCATCCCCACTCTTTGCTCTTTAAAAACACCTTGCATTTGTAGTTCAGGGCTTCAACTCTCCCGACAGAGTGACGCCTCAGCTAGCTGGTTTTTTGAAATAAACACCTTCTTGTATTTGCATCTGGGCATTGCTGGCTCCTTGAAGCTTTGGGGGCGTCTTGGTGAGCACAACAAAGTGGCCCAGCCTGGCAGCTCTTTTCTTACCCAAAGCTTCCAGGAACACCAGACCTTTAAGTCAATAAGAAGGAAGAGTAGGACAAATACCCCAGTACCTCACTCAAGTGACAGGTGTAAGTACCTGAGCATCCAGGACCATACAGTGTTAGGGGACAGGGAGGAGATAAGGGAGGGTTTGGCCTGGATTTCTGGATAGGCGTTTCCACAGCCAATGACAGAATCAGATCACTGTCAACATCAACATCACAATGTCTCCAAAAGCAGCAGAGCCAATGTGGCTGCTCTGAAGGTCTCAAAAAACAGAAAATCTTATCTGAATTCCCCAGGGCCTACAACTGGCAGGGATCCCAGCACTGACAGTCTATGTCCTCCCCTTGGGCTCCTGATGGCCCCAACCTGGTCCAGCTGCCACCCTCCTACAGGCCACCTCCCCTCAATGCCATGCCTTCCCTTATCCCCTGTTACCAGTACCATTATCTTCAGTGCTCAGTACAGCTGCCCATGCCCCTTAGGAAGAGTTTTTTTCCTCTCTGTTGGAACTTCTCCAAAGGTAAGAGCTGGTTATTTTCTGACTGCAATAACAGGACTCAAGAGAAGCTGGTGAGCTTGTGTGTTCTTGGTTTCTAGTCTCCCCTCTCCTATCACCTCCGGGAGACAGTCAGGCTCATTTGAACTGTGCCCTGTCTGGAGTTTTCAGGGAGCCAAACCAGGTCCCTCAAAGTCATCAGAACCCACCCTGGAAAGCAGGCAGCAGGCTCAGAGGTAAGTGAATTAACGGCACTCCTCGATGTTTTAGTTTGGACCTCTCCCCATACTCAATGGGCAGGGAATTCCCACGGCTGTCCTAGTAGTCAAGAACCAAAAACCACGCAGAGCCCTTGCCAACATGATATACTAGATATGAAGGGCATGATATACTAGATATGAAGGGCATAATATACTAGATATGAAGGGCAGTCTAAGGCTGTACCAGGAAGGACCTCTTAGGGCTGGCCACTCTGTTCCCAAAACTTAGTCTCTACCCTAAATTATTGAGTTTTGTGGGGTGCCCATCTCTGCCAAGGAGAAAGCTGTGTGACAAGTTCTTTTAGGGCAGTTGAACAGTGGAGGGTGTTACAGGAGAGTGATGACCTGAGATTTGCCTATTGGAGCTGCTTTTTCTCCATGTGCCTGCTAAGGGCATGAGCTAGGGCAAAACCCACCCCGGAGTAAGTGGTAAGGTGCAGCTTACTCACACACAGGGCCATGTGTGGAGTTGTGCAGACGGAGTCTATGGGAAACAACAGTTTCTAGAACTAAGAACTTCTGTGGTGTGTGAATGAGCAGCTTTCTCTCCTAAGCTGTTTCCTTTCTCCTGTTAGACTCCTAGCTTTTCTTTCACCATGTCTGAAGTGTGTATTATCCTGTGTGTTCCTATAGGGATGGCAAGGCCACACCATGGAGATGCTGCTACTCCGCCAAGCTTCTTAGTCACCTTCATCTTCCTGCAGTTCCTGCCTGCTGGGAACGGTAGGACAACAGGCCCCTCCTGACCTAGGGGTGCCCAGAGTCAAGCTGAGGTTTCCAACAGAAGCTCAGAACTAAGGGAAGCCTCATGCCCTCAGAGTTAAGTGGGTACAGGGGAGCCCCTGCCTCCTTCATGTCACCTAACCCAGCCCTTCCATTTGCATCTCTAAGGAAAATCAGATTTCCGTGTCCTTGGACCTCCTCACCCACTTCTGGCCATAGTTGGGCAAGACAAAGAGTTGCCATGCAAACTGTCACCCAACATCAGTGCTGAGGGCATGGAGATGAGGTGGTACAGGGACCAGCCCTCGACAGCTGTGCATGTGCATAAGAAAGGGGAGGATGTGTACGAAGAGCAGATGGTGGAATACAGGGGAAGGACCACATTCGTCGGCAACCACATGGTCAGAGGAGAGGCTGCTGTGAGGATACGCAACATCACCATGTTTGATAACGGGACTTATCACTGTGCCTTCAAGGAGCACACTTCCCATAGCCAGGCCACCCTGTGGTTGAAGGTGGCAGGTGAGGACCAGTGTGTAGGTCTTTCATTCTGCTTGGGAGCATCTCTCAGCAATAGCCACAATGCCAGACCATGACCTCCCTGAGCCCTAAATCTGGAGAGGCTTTGATGACACCTGCTTTCAGGCACAACTACAGCTCTGTGTATCATACATCCCCAGGATGTAGTTTTGAATAGAACTCTGTTTCCCATCTGCCTTCCCTTCATCACACTCTTGTACCTGAAAGAGATCACAGATGTGGGGGAGGAGGTCAAGGCCTGGAAACAGCTTGGAGGTGGAAGGATGGAGCCTGAGAGGGAGAGTTGGAGAGATGGGAAGACAGGATGAGCAAGAGACAGATTGAGAAATAAAGTAAAAAAGAGAAAAACAGAGGGAAGGCAGAAAGATGGAGAGAAAACAAAGAGAAACAGGAAGAGAGACTGAGAGGGAGAGGCTGAAAGAGACAGGATGAAACAGAAAGAGAGATTGAAATTATTTGGGGGTATGGAGAAGTTTCCCTAGGTTAGCAGAATTTGTTCTTTGTGGTCAGACAGACCCCAGCTCCTTCCTTGTTCCCACATTTAGTGTCCTTAAACCTCCCTTGCTTCCCTCATTTTGTTTGGAATCACAGTGCTGCCTTATTAGTGTAATTGCACAGACAGGTAGTCCATGAAGAGTCATAGAACCTACTAAACACCTGCAAGACATCCCCATGGAAACAACTGTAGCTACAGGATTTGAGCTGATGTCTCTTCTTTCAGGGCTGGGCTCATCACCCAGAATACACATTACTGACACCCAGGACAAAAGCATATGGGCAGAGTGCACCTCAGCAGGCTGGTTCCCAGAGCCCAAGGTGGAGTGGCTGGACCTCAGAGGACAGCCAGTGCCAGCTGAGACTCACTTGTCAGCCACAGCCAGCACAGGCCTCTTGACTGTGGTATCCATTGTGACTACCCAGGACAGAGCTGTGGAGGGCCTGACTTGCTCCATCTCCAACCCCCTCCTCCCTGAGAAGAAAGTGGCTAAGACTTACCTGCCTGGTGAGTACCTGTTCAGTTCTGCCATCAAAGCCACTAGCATGGGAGTCCAGGCCCTGGGTGCCAGGGATGTTTGGAGAAAACTGGGGACAGAGCCAGAGAAACCCCTGCCAAAACCTGGCCAAGGGAGTCACGGGGATGTTGGTGTCCAAGATGAAGCAGTGACAGGGTTGCAGGGAGATCCATCAAGAAAGCAAGAAAGATACATCCTGATATTGGTTGCTGTTGTTGTTTCAATAATTTTTTTAAATGAGTTCATGGCAAATTTAACCACAAAATACATAGATTTTCTTTTCTCTAAAAGAAGCTATTTCTTTTATTTTATATGTACAGATGTTTCTGTGTGTGTGCAGTTCCATTGGAACTGGAGTTACAGATGGTTGTGAGCTGCCATGTGGGTGCTGGAAATGAGACCTGGATTTCCTACATACATCATTTCACAGCTGTAACTCTCCCAGGTATGAGAATACAGAAGGGGATATTACAGGGAGAGACCTTCCAAGCTCTCTACCCTCCCTATTCATACTCTCTCTTCCCATTTATGCCTGGAGACCCCTGACCTTTTTCTCTTTGAATGGATTTTGCCTTTCCCCGGTGTTTTATAGTTGAAACCACACCAAACATATTCTTTTTAGACTGGTGTCTTCCAATCAATATTGTGTATTTAAGCATTCTCTGTGACTTTCCTTTGCCTGGTGTCTTAGTTACCCTTCTGTTGTCATGAGGAGACACCATGACCAAGGCATCTCACAGAAAAGAAAGCATTTACTTGGGAGTTCGCTTACCATTTCAGAGGGTGAGTCCTTTATCATCACAGCAGAGACCAAGGTGGCAGCAGGCAGGCGTGGTGCTGGAGATGTAGCTGAGAGCTACATCTGATTCTCCAGTTGCAGGTTGAGAGAGAGATACTGGTGTGGGCTTTTGAAAACCTCAGCCCATCCCCAGCAATGGATGTCCTCAAAAAAGCCACATCACCTAATTGTTCCCAAACAGTTCCACTAACTGGGGACCAAGCATTCAAACATAGGCTACTATTGGAGTCATCCTCATTCAAATCACAACACTTAATACATCATTTATTTTGAGGACTGAATATTCCACTGGATAGATCACAGTCAATTTATCTATTTATCTGCTAGAGGATATGTTTAGCTTTTCATTTGAAGTTTTGTTTCTTTAAAAACTTGTTTTTTGACTTTTTGAAAAAGGATATCACTGTATAATCCTGGCTGGTCTGGAACTCACAGAGATCTGCCTGTCTCTGCTTCCCAAGTGCTAGAATTAAAGGTGTATGCCACAAGGCTAGGCAAAAGTTTTATTTCTAAACAATGTTAAACTTACAGTTGAATTTTGCAAAATGATAGCATAGTTTGCAAAAATAGTAAGTCTCTGTATCACTTACTATATTCTATACACTATATTCTAAATGCTACAAAAGCAGATCTAATACCTGTATCTTACCCATATGGCTATGCATATGTCAATCCCTCAGTCCACTCTGCCTCAACTCATACCATACTTTGTTCTAGGCTCATGGGCCATGAACACATGTGTGTTGTTAGCACTCTCAGACAGACCACTGTTGTAGAATATTATTTTAAGGTGTGTTACTTTTGTTTATGCTCTGTAACATTTGTTTAATGATGCAGATATGTGTTTGATTAAACAAAATTCACCTGTGGTCAGGAGGCTGGGGCAGCAACTGCTGACAGGAAGTTGTAGGGAGAAGCCAGGCGGAGAAGGAAGTATAAGGAGGGGAGAGAAAGAGCGGGAAGACTTCTTGGGAGACGTGAAGAGGTGAGCTAGGTGAGCTGCTTGCAGTTCAGCCTCTCTGGGAAGCAGGATTCTACCTCTTTGAATCTTGAGTTCTTTAGTGAGACAGAGATTTAAGTAAATTTCCTTTGTAGCTTTGAAAGAGTCGGTACCTGAGGGAGCAGAATTTCCTCAGGCTTCATTCAGCTCTTGCTGCCTAAGTGCTGGTGGTAGGGGCAGAGTTGCAATTGCTGAATAGGATGGGCTAGCTTGAAAGGCAGCAACAATTAAAAAAAGAAAACAACAGACAACAGAAGGCCATGGTCAGGGTGGGCAGGGTCTGTGTCTGGTGACGACTGCTCCATAGTTCTTAGATCTTGCAGTGTCCTTGTGTGGAGGAAGAGCCAGGACCTCTCTGAGGTACTTTTCATAAGGGCATTGATCCTGGTAGTGAGGTTCCCACCCTCATGCTTTCCTCAACCTCCCACAGCCAACCTGCACCATCATCGAAGAGGCTGCAATTTCAATGTTTTGGAGGACACAAACCTGCAATCTATAGCACTGTGTATCCAAAGACATCTCATTATCTCATTTTTTTTTTCTGAACCCTTTTGAGAAATTTCTGAACACTGTGTCCTTTAGTCTAGAATGTTATTGTTGTTTTGTGTGTGTGTCTGCACGCAAGTGCACACACTGGCAACAAAGACAGTCCCCTCCTGTCATTCTTGATGCCCTGGAATCCTTTTAGCACCCCTGTTCAGAAGGCCTCTGTCCACGGAGAGGGTACCCGTTCTGCCCCTTATCCTTGCATCGCTGGGACTTGTCACGGCAGCAATCGCCTGTGCCTTCGGGAGATCGCACAAAGAGGATAACAATGAGGAGGAAGAAGCAGTCCCAGGAGCCAGTGCTGAGGTTGAGCCCTTCCACGGTGAGTGCACCTGACCCTCACACCAGAGACCTGGATACCAAGTGCTGGTCTGAGGCTTTGTCTTTGTGTGACCCAACACAGCAGGAATGGAATGAGTGGGGATTTTGGCTCTGGAATTTCCTCCACTTCAACCCACCCTTCACCCCTGAGAGATTCCTTGCTCAATTATTCTTCACAAGATGATTCTGGACAGATTACAGGGCTGCCTTTTGGGAAACGGATAGTCAAAAGCTTGAAGCTTGGGCTTGTTATTTTTTTCACTAGTGAAACAAAACACCGGAGGCTTCGTCATGTGCAAATGAATGTTATTGAGCTCACATTTGGGGGTCTAAATGTCCAAGATCACGTGGTCCATGTGGTGAGGGCTCCTTGGCTGAGACAAATCATGGAAGATAGCAAGACAGAATAAGCAAGGATTTGGGGATCAGGATCATATGGGAACTAGCCAGGGTTCCCAGAAAACTGTCTCAGGCAGTGTTCACACCTCCTCAAGAATCCCCCACCCCCATTGCTTGGAGAATAACAAAAATAGTTTAAATGGGGACAATAGCAGATTTCTAGACGTGGAGGGGAAATGTTCTTCATGTAGGAGACAAACCTTGGAACCCTCATCTATGCAGGGCCAAGATGGCAGAAACCCCCACATCTGACACTTTCCTCTCTCCACAGCCAGCCTGTCCTTGGACCCAGAAACCGCGAGCCCCAAACTCATGGTGTCTGAGGATCAGAAAAGTGTGAAGCGGTTGCTATTTGCCCAGGACCTGTCTCCCAGTTCCAAAAGATTTGACCAGGACCCCTGCATCCTGGCCCAAGAGCGGTTTGATGCAGGGAGACATTACTGGGAAGTGGAAGTCGGGGACAGGAGGGCATGGATTCTGGGTGTATGTCTGGAAAGTTTGGGGCGGGAAGGTAGGATCCCCAAGTCACCTCAGCATGGCCTCTGGGCACTGGAGTTTTACAAGAAGAAACTCCAGGCCCTCTCCTACCCAAGAACTCACCTGTCTCCTCCACAACCCCTCTGGCATGTGGGCATCTTCTTGGACTTTGAGGCAGGGGAAATCTCCTTTCACAATGCGGACAATGGCTCACTGATCTATGTGTTCTCTGGGCTGTCTTTTTCTGGTCCCTTACAGCCATTCTTCTGCCTCTGGACCCATGACCCCAGGCCCCTGACCATCTGCTCAGTGGTCAGAGAGACCGGAGAAGACACAGAATCCTCTGAAGGTCCTTGACCTCCCTGGGGACTCCTGAGACATCCTTAGGAAGACAGGCTCTTACCTTCTTGCCCACCCTGGCTCCTGGTATCATTTATTGCATTCCTGTGTGAAAATTTCACAAGACACCAGGGGCTGCATATGCTGCCCCTACCAAATTTCTCTGATGAATGCTGACCCCCCTACCCTCTCCCCACCCAGGATTTCTGAAGGTGTTGTAATTTGGAGATGAAGCACTGAAAGAGAAGGAAATCCTTGGTAACCTTAACCCCACAAACCCGGTGTTCTTATAAGAGAGGAGATCAGAACACATATGCACTCTGTGGGGACTCAGATTTGCCACTCACTAGCCAAGGAGACCAGCAGTCTCAGATTTCTAGCTTCTGGAACTTGAAAGTGGTTCTTGGGGAGTAAGAATTGAGTGAGAATCATCATGGCTGCACTCCCTCAGTGAGGAGACAACACAATAAGCACAACAGGGATATTTTTGCCATGCTCTTAGCAGCATATATTGAATGTCCAGCTCAGAGGTGGGTGACCATGGCTGTTCGATAACGGAGTCTTGTCCTCTTCTTACTCTTCCTCCATCTTGTTCATCTTTCTTTTTCTTCCTCCCTGCTTTTCTCTCCCTCCTCCCCACCTTTTTCTTCCTGTTAAATGATAATTTAGTGATGTGTGTGTGTGTGTGTGTGTGTGTGTGTGTGTGTGTTTGTGCGCACATGCACACATGCACCCATGCATAAGAGAGAAAGAGAGAGGGAGAGAGAGAGAGAGAGACAGAGAGGGAGAGAGAGAGTGCAGTGCCCACAGAAGCCATAAGACAGCATCTGATCCCCTAGAACTGTAGTTACAGTGGTTGTGAGCTGACAGGTGAGGGTGCTGGGAACAAAACCCAGGTTTTCTGCAAGAGCAGCCAGGGCTCTTAGTCACAGACCGTCTCTCTCCAGCTCTTCCCCTTCTGTCTCTTTTCTCACTCCTCCGGTCTCTTTTTACCTTAAATCTCTTTCTGTCTCTCACTATGACAGATGAGTTCAAGCCACACAAAGGCAAAGATCCCAAGATTCCTAAGGCTGTGGTCAGATCAGTGAGGACAGAAACCACAACAGTGTTGACAGAAAAAAAGTGGGCTAGAAGTGGGTGTTGATACACATTTGAGAATACAGAAGACAAAGCTAGACCATGGAACCAGCTCTCAGCTACCTGAGAGTCTTCCACTCCGAAACTGTGAGCATAAGGGAGAAAAGAGCCCCAGGAGTGGGGTGCTGCTCTATGGTGCAGTGTCCAGTGCTATGAGGCTGGAGGCCCCAAGAGAAACACCAAGTCACACTGTCCCCCAGAGCCAACATTTCCTCTTGGTGTTTGTTATAATTTCGAGCAGGGATCTGTTGGTGGGATCTATGTGGCATTCAAGACCCCACTCCAGGGGGACTGGGGCAGAAAGATGTCCTGGAGACCAGAAATTGAACTGGTGTTGGCCTCTCTGGGAAGCACTGGAAAATCTACTCCAGGCCTCCCTCCCAGTGTGTGGTGGAGTCCAGCCCTCTTGGCCGGCAGGCACATCATCACAGATGCTGCCCGTCATTGTATGGCCAGCTCTGTAGCTGAAGAATACCTAGCATTTTGGGTTCCTAGTCAAAAGCACAGCTGGGGTTAGTCTGTGGAGTAGCAAGGAAATGTCACAGGCACAGGTGACTCTGAGCTGGGCTTGAGAGCAGCTGGCATTTATACAGGAAGAAATGGGAGAAGGGAGGGACTCAATAAAAGAACCCCGGCCTTGTCATCTGCACATTAGAGTTTTTCAAACATGGGGTGATAGTACTTTTACTTTTTCCTTCTTTGTTCATCAGTGTGATATTTATATGTAACAAATTTGCTAGTTTAAAAAAAATTATGTATAGAGATCCACCTGCCTCTGGGTCAAAGGCATGTGCCATCTATCACAGCCCGGATAGTTTTTTTTTTTTTTTAAGATTTATATATATTATGCATATGGATATTTGTCTACATGAATGTCTGCATACCAGAAGGTGACCCAGGCTTTTTATCCCAGCACTTGGGAGTCAAAGGCAGGCAGAGACCTGAGTTCAAGGCCAGTCTGGTTTACAGAGTTCCAAGACAATCGGGGCTACCCAGGAAAATCGTGTCTTATAAAAACAAAAACCCAAAAAAGTTGTGTCTGTCGGGGTGTGTGTGTGTGTGTGTGTGTGTGTGTGTGTGTGTGTGTGTGTGTAAACACCTTCAGAGGACAGAATAGGATGCTAGATCCCTTGAAGCTGCAGGTAAGGCATTTGTGAGCTGTCCATCCTGGGCGCTGGAATCAGCACTCTGTTCTTCCGATGGAGCAGGTCCTCTTCTGAACTCTCTTCTCCAGCTTCAAGCTTTCTTGTTTGAAGGGTGCAGTATGGCGAACGTTGTTCAAAGTGTACAATCATGTAGCAGTGCCACCATGAGATTGGTCTTTTGCCATTAAAGTTTCTTTGGATTTGTTGAAACTTGATCCCCACTGATGATTCCACTGTGTGTAGCCACTGATTTGTGGAATTTTTATTTTGTTTTGATTTCCCCTCTCTGGTTCTTAAACTTAATTTGAAATCAGTCCATTTAAATTGTGGAGTGTTACTGAGACCATTGAATTGAGTCAGGTGCCCTAGACCACTCGGCTATCCTTGAGTTGAGAACTTTCATTTTCTCTTGGTATCCTATTTGGCACATCCATGTGATGAATCCTTTTACCTGTTCTGGAATTTTAAATAAATGGAATAATACTATCACTTTTTTGTCAGGTTAGTTCATTTCCTGTTGTCATAACAAAATACCTGTAGTTGGGAAACATGTTTCTTAGCTGACACTTTTGGGGAGCACATAGGTAGACAATTTGTTGAACCCCAAGTAGCTGCCCCCTTTTCACCATCCAATCGACAGCTTCTCTCTTCTCCTGTCCTGGTTTGTCTTATGCCATGTTGTTGTCAACTTGACACAGCTAAGGTTATTATGGGAAGAGGGACACAACTGAGGAAATGCTTCTATTAGGTTGCTTGTGGGCAAGACTGTAGAGCAGGTGTTTGCAACCTTTGTAACTCTGCAACCCTTTAATACACTTCATGTTGTAGTGACCACCAACCATAAAATTATTTCATTGCTACTTCATAACTGTAATTTTGCTACTGTTAGGAAACAATGGAAATATCTGATACATAAGGTATCTGATATGTGACCCCAGAGGGGTTGAAACCCATATGTTGAGATACATTGCTGTAGAACATTTTTTATTGATGTGTATGGGAAGGTCTGGTGGGTGTTGCCACACCTGAGCAGGTGGTCCTGGGTGCCCTAAGAAAGCAGGCTGAGCAATCTAGTAAGCAATGTTCACTGGTGGCTTCTGCTGAGTTCCTGCCTCCAGGGCTCTGCCCTTTCTCTTCCTGATGAACTCTACCTGTAAGCTAAAATCTTTCCCTCCTTGGGTTGCTTTGGATCCTGATATTGTCACAGCACTAGAAAACTAAACAACTTTTTCTAGATTCCCCAATACCAGCTGTGACTGAATGAGAAATGCTCCACTAGGCTCATGACTTTGAACCCTTGGTCCCTGGTTAGTGGTGGTGGTTGAGAAGGTTGAGGAGGTGGTCGTGATGGAGGAAGCATGTTGTTGGGAGCAGGGTTTGAGGGTTTACAGCCTCAACCTACATCCAGTTTGTCCTCTCTTTTCCTATGTATGGTTGAAAAGGGATATTAGCTGCCTGCTGCCATGCCTTCCCTAGACCCTTAGCCCAAATCAGCTTCCTTCCTTAAGTCTCTTCTTCCTGGTCATGGTACTTTATCACAGCAACCCAAAATTAACTAATACAGCAGCTGAACAGGGAGGCAGATTTCAACTTTATGTTGGTTTTATTGTGAGACAGGATATCAACCTCTCAAGTGCCAGTATTAATTTAGGACTGAGTCTTGTGCTCCTGATCTCCTGCCTGTTGTCCCTTGCTCCAATAGGCGCTCAGCAGAACTGGGTGGTGGCCATCCACATTGGTAAACAGGGCTCTTCTTTACCCACCGATAATTTCTTCAGTGCACTATCGTGGAGACACCCAGAAACAATGTTACAGAGTCATTAGGCATCACTTTGTCCAATCCTGCTGGGACATTAGCTTCATGGAAAAGTAGGAACATATCTCTAAATGCTGGTGAACCTATGGACCCCATGGACCTTCTACTTTGTACATTCCTGTATCCTGTGACTATGAAGTCCTTCCCCATCCCACTCACCTATTCTCCCTTAATTACTGTGTGTGTGTGTGTGTGTGTGCACGAGCATGAGCTAAATCACACGCATGTGCACTGTGGCACACGTGAAGTTCAGAGGACAAGTTGTGGAAGTTCCTTCTTCCACAATGTGGGCTCCAGGGACTGAACTCACTCAAGCAGCCAGGCTTGGTGGCAAGTGATTTTACCTGCTGAGCTTTCTCAACAACCTCACATTATCCTTTAAAATGCCCAGTGACTTCGGTACAAATCTAAGTGGCTCTCAGTTCCCCCAAGAGTCCTTCCCTATTGGAATGTCACCTTTCTGCTTAAGACCTGTGCTCACCCTTCATTGTCTGGTTTCACCATTGAGAAAGGGAAACAGGAAGTAAGCACCATTCTCCCCCCCCCATGAATGCTTATGGTATCTTTTTCAAGTCCCCTTTCCTACCTCTATGATTTATTTGCATGGGAGGCAACCATGTAAGGAAGATTCTAAAGAATGATCTCATTCTTGGGAGAACCATGAGTAAATCCACTGTGTTGATGGTAAGCTGGGGGAAACGTGTTTAAAGAACCAAGGATGGCTATCAAGATAGCTCAGTGAGTAAAGATGCCTCCCACCAAACCTGATGACCTGAGTTCAATCTCTGGGAACTGTATCAGGGAAGGAGCGAACTCACTCCCAAGAGTTTTCCTCTGCCCTCCGCATGCTTGCTATGGTGCATGCACTAAGCATAAAAAAACGTAATAAAAAATTAAGAATGAAGGATGTCTTGGTGGTTGGTGTGGTCTCCAGAATTACTCACCTAGCCAAGCTTCATAAACTTTTCTGTTAATGAAAAATCTGATAGGAAGAAGAAGTTATTTTAAGGTTTGCTAAAATATAAACACACCTTTGTTCATATGTATTTATACTCATCATCTAGGATTTTTTTTTTCTGTTGTCACCAAAATTCATTGAGCTACCATGCTTTTCAGACCATGTGCATGTAGTGCTCACAGAGGCCAGATGAGGGCGCTGTATTCCCTGAGTTGGAGTTACAGACACTCCACCCACCCACCCACCCTGGCCAATGTAGCAAACCAATCCTGGTCCTCTGGAAGAGCAGCCAT